ATAAACACACATCTGGACTGTAGAGCTTGAGGACTCAGTCCACTGGCCTACTTGCAAATAAGGGCTTTCCATTCACATTTATTCAAAATGTTCTCACACAAAGTTTCCCTTGCAGGGGTTTTAACTATCACATCAAACATATATTCAATGCTTTCAGCCTCCTTGATATTTTGGTATACTCAGACACACAGTCTGTCTCTGTACAGACAATAACTTTAATTGGTGATGCCCTGGTCAAGACAGGCCAGAACAGACAGACACTCTCCTCATGACAATTCACACACTGAGCTGCTATCTTATAGCACCATTGTATCCTAGAGAGGAAGGAGCCCTTAATCTCAGTTCAAGCTGACAGGCAAGATGTGTACCCAGGTTTGAAAGCTTATTTCAAACCAAAGCCCTATAAAGCCTCTGGGCTCCAGGACTCGGAACAGAACTAATAAGATTCTGAGGAAACAAGTTTATTTCTGCCATACCAGTCATTAACTCTGGAGTTCCTCGCCATGGGTAGATGAAAAACCTAGGCGGCACATCAACACGGTCCACAATCCTGCCAGCCAGTGCCTCACAAAAATTTTATACAAATTCATTCTGCAGCCCTTAGTAAAAGACATACTTTTACAAGAGAATTGGACAGGTAGGAAAGATAACCCCTCCCACTCCCAGCATGCCTCTGTTTTGTGGTAAAACAATAGAAGAGTGGATTTAAGATTGAGGGGTGGGATGTTTCTAAACCACTGAACTGATAACATCTACATTGCGCAAGCAAGACTATTATCCTATAATAAGAAAATGTCTCGACTCCTAAACAAGAAGCTTAGAGTGAGCAAGCTTAGAGTTCAAAAACTTTAAAAGAGAAGTATGGCCAAAGCTTTTTTTGGCCAGAATTCTTTTCTAGGTCACAGGAGTGCACTCAAAGCCTGCTGTTGGCTGAAGTGACAGACCTGGTGCAGACTCTGCAGGAATCACAACAATAATGTCAGAGGCAGCTGGCTCAGCCTCTTCGTGCGCCACCCACTCCACAGCCTGCCATTCCACTGAGCACGGAAGGGGCAGAGCAGAAAACTGGTGACTGACAGTCACCTCTCTCTGCTCACAGAAGACCAAGAACTGAGCGATCAGCAGTCATTTGATCACACAGTTCTCGGTCTTAGAGCCGGCGAGGGAAAGCTGCAGCAATGGACCAATGCTGCAGCTATATAGGTGACTGTAGATTTTTACTGAACTTCTAGGAATGCACATTCATTTAATAAAGAATACATATTATAAGATACATTATATAAATAAACAATAATAAAATAGTTTAGCTTACTAGACAAAAAATGCTTTTCTGATTTTATTTTGTTACCTTCTGTAGCTGAACAATCTTTTTGTGTAGGTGAGTTGCTACGAACTGGGCTAAGAGGTGGTGATGTTTCTGTAGTACGGCCTTCTGGCTCCTCTTCATCATCAGATGCAGGGTTGGCTCCTGGCTCTCCATTTTCTAAGTCACTCCGGGAAGAATCTTCTGAAGATGACACCCCAAACCTGCAGCTTTGAAATAAAAACAGGGTTTTAATTTTCTCAGTATGATTTCTAACTTTTCCTATAATATAAATTATTCTGGCACCAACAAATTCTGTTATTCTGTGCCCTCCTTCAAAACAAACAAGTATTATTAAAGGGAACCATTGAGGACAGAAAAAAAAGGAGAGCCATTACTGCAGACTGATGCTAGCATTTTTTTTTTTTTCCCATGGGCCAAAAAATAAATAAATAACATTTTTCAAACAAATATATAAAATTTAAGTGAATGCATAAACATGCACCAATATATAACTTCACGCCAGTATCAGACACCCCATCATATCAGGAGTCCCACCTTCACTCAAAGCCTCCCATCACTTCAGAGCCCACCCTTTCACAAGCCTCCCCTTCACATCAGATCCCTCCCATTACATGAAAGGTCCACCTCTTTATATCACAGCCCCCCCTCCCCCCCCCCCATTTACATCAGAAATCCCCCTTTAAATCAGAGTCCCCATCAGAGTTCTGTCTTACATCAGGGTTCCCATCAGAAGCAGAGATAACTGATATGAATCCTCAGTTTGTGCAACGAGTCTCAGGATAAGTCATCTGACCCTAGCTGTGGGCTGGATAAAATCTCATAGCGAGCGGGATGTGGCCCATGGGCCACATTTTGCAACTGCCCACTTTAGAATGTAAGCTTGAAAACAGCAGTCTTATCCACCTGGATTTTAAAGCAAGATGTTTTTTTGCATGGCCCTTATGGCAAAAAAAGAGAGTTGCTCTTTTTTACAGAAACTGTGTCTTTCAGATAAGTTCTGATAGCTCTTACATCATTCAGACAATTAAGCTGGCCATACATGGATCAAAATTTGTCTGGTTCAGCCAGGACTGGCTGAATTTTGATCCGTGTATGGGCACCCTGGTTGTGCAGAAGTCTATCAATTGACATCTGTACACCCATCCTGTGGAGTTTTCCGAGTGATCAGTGCTGCCGGCTATTGTAGGCAACACTGATCATGATCATTGTGTTTCTGATGGCAGGGTAGGCTCAGTGGGAGTGATTCCCCCCATCCACCTTGAATGTGTAGATGGAGGAATTGGCACTTTCTTTTTTTCATTCAACCCGTTGGTTGAATGAAAAATAAATGTATAACGTATGGCCTGCCTTAAAGAAATCTCTTTGGGCTGCTTAGGAGCAGAGCATAAAAAGGAAAGAAATGAGGAATAGATCTTCATTAGGTAGATGTTAGATACCAACTTAGGTAGAAAAGTAGCTCATTGGCACAAGACTACTTTGTCTCTGTGAAGGATCAGGAATAGCTCCTTATAAGAGAGCTGCTAGTTCAAAGACAGTCTGACAGACTCGATAACCATTAAAAAGATCACCTTGCAGAAATGATAATCAAAACAAATAACCCTGATGGGTTCAAAGGGTGGCTGCTGCAGGACAGAGAGAACCAAATTAGGGTCCCAAGGAAACACAGAGTGCTGCAAGGGTGGCAGAATCTGAGAAACATTGAACAAACAACTTTAGAAAGGGAAAATGAAGACAGAGGTTTTTGAAACAAACTGGACAAGGCCATACCTGCCACTAAGAGTGGTTCTAAAGGCGAGACTTTTTTTTACCTTAATGCATTTGCATTATTAAAAGGTAAAAAAATATCCCACTAGCTGTATGGCCCCGTCACCACCCTTTATTAATTATCCTCAATCCAGTGCTGTGCCCATCTGCAGTGGCAGTTGTCTGTGTTCCTCTCCTCACAGGCTGTAGTAATAACAACAGTAGCCATTGGCTCCTGCTGTTGTCAATCAAATCATGAGGAAGGGGTGGGGGAGTGGCCAAGCCATGCTGTGTGTGTATGGAGCAAGCCTACCACTGTGCCACCATATGTGCTTCATATGGTGGTACATCGAGCAAGAGGAGGAACAAACAGCGCTGGCGGGGGACCGCAGAAGAGGGGGTTCGGGCTTCTCTGTACAATACCAGTGCACAGAGCAGGTAAGTATTACATGTTTGTTATTTTAACCCTTTGAAGTTGGCTGCCTCGCAACCCTTTAATGGTACTTTAATGGGCTGTACTAAAATGCAGGAGTGTAATTGGCTGCAGCTTCCAGAGCGGTCACATGATTAATAGTCCTGAAGGAAGGCTAAAATGTGAGGCACAGAGAAATCTCTGGGATTGAAAAGCCTGTGTTCACACCAGGCAATGTTTTCCAGGCATGATAGTAAATTTTTCTGGAAGTGGATTTTCTGGCTTTAAGCAATATGGGAATTACAGAATCAAGACCTGGAGTTCTACAGCCATGAAGTTAAAGACAGTGACTGAGAAACTTTGTGAACAAAGGGCCTAAGGATAGGTCTGGCCTGTGTCAAAAATCAGGGATCATCTCTTAGAAGTCTGAGCATATCTTGCTTACCAGCTTCTCCTAGGCCAGTTGGGTGTAATACAAATCAATTTTTTCTCATTCAAAGGGCATACATGTGATGCAGCATTAGCTGATCAGGTTTTTTAACCAACTCCCCCCTCCATGCCCCCCAGCCATTTTTGTTAATATGGTGCATGCGCAGATGTGTGGAAGCCTTCGGGTGCTGCTTTTCTGAGATTTCCTGTGATTTGAAAAATCCTGAGATTTCCTGTGCATGTGCAAGCATGCCAAAAGTTTGGAACTTCCATATTAGCGGTCTTTTGTAAATGCTTGGGTGAGTCTCACGTATGCAGATGTGCGGGAAAGCCACGTATGCACAGATGTGCTGCAGGGCTTTCTCAAAACCCAAAGCCCTGTGGCACATCTGCGCACGTACAGAATCAGGGAGGGGGCTGGGGGATACAAAAATCATTCTCGCCTAGACAAGAAACGCAAAGAAAACTGCTTTGTAGCACAAAAATTATTAAATTACGAAAAAAAAAAAAAATTGTACGCAAGGTCTGCTTTAAAATTATGAATGGACATCATTCTGACTGTATGCTATGATTCTGACTTTTTTGGTGGTTTATTTTTTTTTAATAAAAGTTTTTTTATATTGTTTATGCTATAAACGGTTTAAGAATTTGAGTGGACTCCAAGGCAAAATGAAAGACACATTAAAGTGATTCTAAAGGTTAATTTATTTATTTTAACTACAAACATGCCATAGTTACCTGCTCTGTGCAATGGTTTCGCAAACAACAGCTTCTATCCTCCTCCTCCTCTCAGGTCACCCGTCAGAGCTCCTGACTCCTCCCCACTAAAGTGGGGGCACTCATGAGCGCTCCTCACAGAGCACGGTCAACCCTATTGCTAGCTCCTTCCTCACTGGCTGTGATTGACAGCCAATGAGGAGGAGGAGACCCGGAGAACTGCTGACCTCATGCACATTGCTGGATCGGGCTCAGGTGAGTATAGGGGTGGCTGTAGGGGGAACTGCACTCAGAAGGTTTTTCACCTTCATGCGTAGAATGCATGAAGGTAAAAAAAAACCTTCCTTTACAACCACTTTAAGGATTCTTCTTACCGAGTTCTAGATTTAACCTGTGTTCCATAACCAATCTCTTTTTCTTCCCAGATATCTTCCTCTTCATCATCGAACTGTTGGATGCGCTCATTGCAGCAGGCTTCAAACAAAGCAGCATTAGGCTGAAAATAAAGTACACATAAAAAGAATATTAATTGTATATGAAATATTCCTCATGCCAACTCACCCAACAAAAACTTCTCTGTAATACAGCAAAAAAGACACAGGCTTTAGCACCAGGTTAAATAGTACAAAGCCCCACCTATTCCTCTATAGAGCTATGGTAGTGGTACTTTCTACTGTGCTCCTGCTAATTGGTGTGTTTAAAATCAATAAGCTTCATCACTTAAATTCAGGAAGCCAGTCCTATACTAGTCTTTCGGGGATATCCAGACTTCCCAGCACAATGCACAAGTAGAGCCTAAAAGCAAACTGAGTAGTGTAAGTAGACTGGTAGAACTAAATTTTTTTGTTTCAGGTAGACGCTGAAGAGATTTATAGCAGGAGTTATTTACTGTATAAAGACAGAATAATCTGGGCGTACTAGTATGCACAATCTTTGAAAGGCAGTTGAATAGCACCATGGCAAGTATTTTAAGGTCAGATGTTAGTATGGATTTTGGTCTGTAAGATTGTGGAAGTATCTGACCTTTATCAGGCTTTGGCAAAACTATTACTGTCGATGTTGCACAGATGAGAGCTCACTCTGTGGCACCTGTAATTGTAGTATGCAATCCAGGGAGAAGTATTTCTCCATACTTTTTATATATCTCCATTGGAAGACCATCATTCCCTCGCACTTTATTATTAGGGAAATCCGGAAATGCTTTCTGCAGTTCCTACAAGGTCATCACCTTCAAGGAGCCTTTAATACTAGCCTGTCTGCCTCCTCTGCCTAGGAAAGAGCAGCACTCTGGAAGAAGTGGACCAGATTTGAGTGATTTACAACTTTTATCAAACAGGGAGTATCAGTAAGAAGGCTGCATGTGTAGGTACCAAATGTGATTTTACAATCACTGCCAGCAGGTGACAAGTATTTTTCTCTTCCTCAAAATATTTTTTTATGCTACATCTAGGGAGACAGTGTGATACAAATGTTGGGCATCAAGCCACAACCTCATTGGATTTGTGAGATAGGTTAGTTCGGCAACCTCAACTTTAAGCATTTCCTGGTTTAACTTTTTATCCTCAATACTGTATTTCTTTGTTGAACAGGACTGTTTAAAGTGCCTTCATTCTCCCCCACAAAATGCAACAGAATGCCAAGTGTCTGTTTACAGCAGAAAATCTGTGAGCTGACCTAGGAAAATCTGAATTTGTACAAAGTTTCAACCAAAAGGGGTTAAATTTCCAAAAAGCTCTAGGTGAGTGATCATTAGCGTTCACTGTCAGCTGTAGCAACGAGTGGTCTGACAGTCCCCTAGGGGCATAATAGACATGGGGAGTGCACTGCAATACAAGATTATTATCCAAAGCCAGGCAGATTCTTGGAAACGTCAGATGTGTAGGACAGTACTGATTTTCGGTGGGATGACAGGGTCTCCAGAGGTCATAAAAGCTAACTTACAGAGGACCTTTCAACTGCTTCTAGCGTAATTTGGAATGATATTGCATATGGAAATGACTAGTTTCAACATTAGAACGGTCTCAGGAATCAGTTTTTTTTCTGGAGGAAAGATTTAGATTAAACTGTTGAATTTTGGTGAGCATAGCAGTCAGTTTATTGGGTCATGCAGCACCCTAATGTTCCAGGAAAGAATTGAATTGTGTTTAGCCATTACAATATCCATTGGATAAATCCAGAAGTGTGGCTCGTTATCAGCAACAATTGTTAATTTTGCTGGATACAATTAATGTATGGGATGTTAAGTACTTGCAGACACTTTTGAGGTCCAGATACGCAGTATTACAACTGACAATTTTGGGTATATGGAGATTCTAGAGCTCTGTATTTCCAGGGATGGATCCTGGCTAATCTACAAATAAATGTCTTTATCATTTTATTAAGGACTTTGAGCAGAAACAACCCAGGAGCGTCCCCTAGCAGAGGTGGACAGGAGGGAACTCTGTGTACGTTGAGTTTTCCCAAATGTGGTAACTAGACAATTTTAAATAAAACCATCAGGGGATTTGATTTTGGCTCCCTCCAGTATTCTAATAATGCAGAGGTGGTTTCTTATGTAGTCTTTTTTCCCATATCTTTCACTTGGAAGTCATGGTTTGTTCGTTTGGCAGCATTTATGTCATGTTTGAGTGGGGACCCTCTGTTTTCGGTTGCACTGAAGCAGCCCTCTCAATGTCTATCTTCCCTAATACCCTCTAGCTGATTAGTCAATGCCATTAGCAATATTCCATAGGAATGTACTGCAGCCAGTACTTCTCTCAGTATGTGATGTAGGCCCTTGTCTGTGTCTATGTGCCATGCTTTAGAACATGTCATGTAGCATTCACCCAACGAGTCCACAAAAGGCTTTTGGCAAAAGTTAACATCCATTTGCTGAGGCTGCAATTCCTCCAAGCTCTTCAATTCCTCGGCCACAGGTAGGGAAGGTATGTGTTGGTTAAAGTCTCTTGTTGGAAATAGAGGCCCAGATTGGCCACAACCTCCTGCTTATCCTTCAGCTGTCGACTCAATCTTGTGGCTGCCAATTTGGAACTCTGACATTCTTATTCTTTCTGATCATGTCTGCAGTGTTCCGGAGTACAAATGGCAGTGACCTGGTTCTTCAGGAGCTACAGGATCACAGGAAATAGCTTATTTCCTCCATTTCAGGATGATTTTTTTTTTTAATAACTGGCAGAGAGTACAGGTACATGCATCAGCTACATTGATGGCCACACCACATTCTTCAGAGATTTTAAAGCAGTGTATGGACAGAATGACATAACAGAGGTATGTAAATTACACCTTACACTCACCTTACTAAGGTCTACATATATAAAAGTTCCTATTTAGTAATAGTTAGGTATACTTTTCTTGTCTTGTGTCTAAAATGTGTGATTCTTTTGTGTCTCTAAAATGTAAGAAAACTGGTCTGTTAAAGCACAAAACCAAATACTGAGAAAAGTAATTCAGAGGATGCTATACGTACATTTTCATCTTCAGCTTCCAAGTTAAAATTAATCTCGGTTATTCGGTCAAAAGGTGCACTATAATACAGAGAAAGACTAGAATTAGATATCTACTCTAAATATAAAAGGAAAATATTAACACAGACGTTTGGAAATTAAACGAAAAAAAAACAAAACACAAAAACTTACATAATCATCTAGGAGGATGCAGCATTCATCTGATGCTGCATCTGTCCCCCGCCACCTCTAATACTGAGAATCGAGTGATCAAAAACTGCTGACCGCTCGGTTCTCGGTCTTCAGTGGCAGAGAGCCAGTAACGATCAGTCACCAGTTCATTGCTCTGCCCCTCCAGCGCTCACTGGAGTGCTGGGCTGTGGAGAGGGTGGAAGTGGCCGGAGCCCACTTTCGGCTGAATCACAGAAGTGCAGAACTAAGTGCACTCCTGTGACCTACAGGAGCTTTGGACCTACTTCTCCATTAAAAGCAGACAAAGTAAACACAGCTGTATTTATATCTCAACAGAAACCCACACATATGTACCAATCAGTTGTACTCCTTACAACCTAAAGGGTAACTTCACCTACAGTGATATTGCCATTTATAAATTGCCCCCCCCTTGAGTGTAGTTGACATGGGATAATACCAATCTTCTGAATTCAGCTATTTTCCCTCTAATAAGGTTCCAGCCAACTCTTCTTCTTCAAACTATACACTGTGCACGCCATGGCCCCATTGATTCCTATAGAAATTCCATTCTCATTGCAGCATCCACCATCCCTTGGACTAAGGCTTATCCTTAAGAATAAATGGGGCCATTGCAGGCATGTGCAATATGAAAGTGAACATTTTGAAGACTGCCATATTGGGGACAAATGGTATTATGCCATGTGGGTGTCAGATTTATTGAAAGGAAACTTTACTAAAAAGGTGAAATTGTCCTTTAACCACTTGCCGCCCGGCCTATAGTCAAATGGCGGCCGGGCAAACACTTTGTCCCTCCGGTGGGAGGGTGCCATATGGCGTCCTTCCCGGATCGCGCTTTGCACGTGCACGGAGGGCCGTGCTGTGGCAAGATCTGTCACCAGCTGTGTACCTCGGACATGGCCGATGACAGATCTGTGTACCGGCCCCGTTGCCAGTACGTGACCTGCTGTGACCAGGTCACATGGAAGTTGTATACCATGAATGGCTTCCTTTCATGCCATCCATTGTATAACAGTGTGTCTAGCTGTGAATGGTCACAGCGATCACATGCACAGACTGGGCCAATTACAGCCCATCTGTATCATGTGATTAGCTGTGGCCAATCACAGCTAATTACAAAAAAAAAAAAAAAACCTGAATAAATTGATTTCATTCAGTTAAATGCTTGCTTATAATCAAATTGCGTAAAAAAAAAAAAAAAAAAAAAAAAAAAAAAACTGATCACTTCCCTTACTATGGTAACATTATGCTACTTTGGTCTTACTGCAACATGAAAACAAAACAGCAGTTATATGCTGACGCTGTACTGCACTGGTGACAGTATGTAAATATATGAAATACGTCGGACTGTATCATTTGCAAAAATGGGTCATTTAGGGGATATCTGTACTGTTTTGGAAAGTAAATAGAAGATTATCACGTTGGAATGAATTTATGGACTTTCATTTAATCAGTGTCTTATTAATTTTATAAATTTGTCACTTTCAGATTGATTTTTGTTCACAGTACCACTGAATCACTTAGGGTTCGTTTATTGTTTATATGATTTATTTTAAGGTGGCAGCAGTGTTTAATCTGAATATACAGTCAGGTCCATAAATATTTGGACATCGACACAATTCTAATACACCACCACAATGGATTTGAAATGAAACAAACAAAATGTGCTTTAACTGCAGACTGTCAGCTTTAATTTGAGGGTATTTACATCCAAATCAGGTGAAGGGTGTAGGAATTACAACAGTTTTCATATGTGCCTCCCACTTGTTAAGGGACCAAAAGTAATGGGACAGAATAATAATCATCATAATCAGACTTTCACTTTTTAATATTTGGTTGCACATCCTTTGCAGTCAATTACAGCCTGAAGTCTGGAACGCATAGACATCACCAGACACTGGGTTTCATCCCTGGTGATGCTCTGCCAGGCCTCTACTGCAACTGTCTTCAGTTCCTGCTTGTTCTTGGGGCATTTTCCCTTCAGTTTTGTCTTCAGCAAGTGAAATGCATGCTCAATCGGATTCAGGTCACATGATTGACTTGACCATTGCATAACATTCCACTTCTTTCCCTTAAAAAACTCTTTGGTTGCTTTTGCAGTATGCTTTGGGTCATTTTGTCCATCTGCACTGTGAAGCGGCATCCAATGAGCTGTGAAGCATTTGGCTGAATATGAGCAGATAATATTACCAAAAACACTTCAGAATTCATCCTGCTGCTTTTGTCAGCAGTGACATCATCAATAAATACAAGAGAACCAGTTCCATTGGCAGCCATACATGCCCATGCCATGACACTACCACCACCATGCTTCACTGATGAGGTGGTATGCTTAGGATCATGAGCAGTTCCTTTCCTTCTCCTACTCTGCTCTTCCCATCACTCTGGTACAAGTTGATCTTGGTCTCATCTGTCCATAGGATGTTGTTCCAGAACTGTGAAGGCTTTTTTAGATGTCGTTTGGCAAACTCTAATCTGGCCTTCCTGTTTTTGAGGCTCACCAATGGTTTACACCTTGTGGTGAACCCTCTGTATTCACTCTGGTGAAGTCTTCTCTTGATTGTTGACTTTGACACACATACACCTACCTCCTGGAGAGTGTTCTTGATCTGGCCAACTGTTGTGAAGGGTGTTTTCTTCACCAGGGAAAGAATTCTTTGGTCATCCACCACAGTTGTTTTCCGTGGGTCTTCCGGGTCTTTTGGTGTTGCTGAGCTCACCGATGCGTTCCTTCTTTTTAAGAATGTTCCAAAGAGTTGTTTTGGCCACGCCTAATGTTTTTGCTATCTCTCTGATGGGTTTGTTTTGTTTTTTCAGCCTAATGATGGCTTGCTTCACTGATAGTGACAGCTTTTTGGATCTCATCTTGAGAGTTGACAGCAACAGATTCCAAATGCAAATAGCACACTTGAAATGAACTCTGGACCTTTTATCTGCTCATTGTAATTGGGATAATGAGGGAATAACAGACACCTGGCCATGGAACAGCTGAGAGGCCAATTGTCCCATTACTTTTGCTCCCTTAACAAGTGGGAGGCACATATGCAAACTGTTGTAATTCCTACACCGTTTACCTGATTTGGATGTAAATACCCTCAAATTAAAGCTGACAGTCCGCAGTTAAATCTTTTTTGTTTCATTTCAAATCCATTGTGGTGGTGTATAGAGCCAAAAATGTTAGAATTGTGTCGATGTCCCAATATTTATGGTCCTGACTGTATTTCACTTATTTACTCACTTATGTTGTTTTTTGTAATATTTGTATGCATTTAGCGCATAGGTTTTTTTACATGCAATGATGTTTCATTGCCTGCATAGAACTTCTAGAGGCAGTGATGCTATTGATTGGTCACACACAGGCAACCTGTTGAGGTGGCTGGTTGCCACATCAGGAAGTGCCTTGCTTCTGGCAATTTTCGGCCCCGCTTTTTACCGCCTATTACAAGCATAAATAACTGTTAAAGCAAAGCTTAACCTCCATAGCGGTCTGATTATGTCCATATTTCTGTGCTCAACGCGGTACATTTTTTTGCATGGAAATATGTACTTTTTTATTGTAGGCCTGTAATTTTTAGGAATAACTCACTGAAATCTGTCAGAACGAGAGTCTAGTAAACATCCTGGGTATGTTACAATCGGAAACACAAAATCATAAATTATAATTTAATAATCATAAAAAATTATAATATAATAAATTTAATTCAATAATATAATCAAACCAAAAACACTGAAATTTGAAATATAGCGCCAAGTTCGCACACATCACTGAGCAAAGTCACAAAATCGTTTTCAGTGTCTGATGACGAATTTCCCCACGAATCATCACTCAATTCTGCAAGTCGTTCTAATTTACTATTGCTGTTCTCTAGCCGGTCTAAAACTGCTTTTGACCTAAAGGGATGCTTTTTGGACACAGTGGACGTTTCTCAGTTTCCAGGCAGAAAGAACAGTAAAAATGTAGGCAGGGCACAGGATAAAGCACTCAGGACAAAACATATGTGAAATGGTTTGATACATTTTTACTATGTGATTTTAGTGTATTTAGTGAATGTCACTTTTTGTCATTTTCAAATTTCCCGCCAGTTCCGTCCCGACGTCGCAGGGAACGGAACCCAGAAGACAGATGCCGGCATCTGCCAGAGGACATTACAGGGGACACTGCAGGAGGGACATCGCGGGAGCGCAGGACAAGGCAAGAGAAGAACAGATCCCGGAGCAGCGCCGCATGGTAAGCTCAAGTGTAGCTCGGGGTTACCGCTTGTGGTACTGAAAAACTTTACCCCGAGCTACACTCGGGAATACCACCAGGAAGGCTACAGAATATTTAAACCCAACATTTCATATTCCTGATATGTGCCTGCTGGTGTTCCTGCCAGTACCTCAGCTTTCCTAATAAAAAACTGACCACACTAGGCATGAGAGCACTCCATGATCGGTTCTCTAGCTATATTGGGAACTCCGCCTGCTCTTCTCCAATGATCAGACTTGTCTTGACACACACCCATGGGACGTCCCCAAGCAGTGAATAAGAAAAGTGGACAACAAGGCAAACTGCAACAGTGCTAACAGGCCCAAGTCAAGATTGCCACTGCAACTTGTTCGAGGGGGTGCATAAAAGAGCAGGAGACGTTTTGTACTTTAGAGAGTTAACTCTGGAAATGAGTTATCTTAATAAGACTCTGAAGCAGGATGTCCCTTGTGAGGTCCTGAGGGCAGGAAAAATAAGGAGTCTGTCTTCCTGCTAGAAGATGTTGCTTTGAGGTAGACTTTAATGGCTCTGACTGCATTCAGGCAATGAAGAGTAATCTCCTTTGGGTGCTTTGGAGCAGGTCTTGTCTTGATTGAGGTGGAAGACTGGCACCACCTTAAGAAGAAAGTATGGCCTTGGACATAAGACTACCTTGTCCTTGTGAGGAATAGCTCCTTACAAGAGAGCCGCTAGCTCAGATACATATCTAATAAATGTGCCAGAAACTAAAAAGGCTGCTTTTCAGGAGAGATCATCTGAGAGGATTTCCCCAATGGGTTCCGAGGGTGGTTCTGCAAAGAAAGCAATAAATTGTGGTTCTGAGGGAGCACAGGATGCTGGCGGGGGAGTGGAGGAGTCCAATCCAAGATACACCTGGAATAAAGGTTTTGACAAGGGACAGAGACCAGAGGTTTTAAAAAAGAATGGAAATAAGGCTACGTTCTGTTAAGTCCTGTTTATAAAGTCAGAATATGAGGCACAAAGTAATCTCTGGGATTGAAGTGCCTGTGTTCACACCAGGCAAAAAAGGATTTCCAGGCACAATACTAGTGACTTTTTTGCTTTCAGCAAAGTAGGAATAAAACTCAGACACCACTCTTTCCCTTAAGACCTGGTTTCCATGGCCATGTTTTTAAAGCCAGGTGACAGAGAAGCAGGATAGAATAGGGTCCACAGGACAGCAGGTCTGGCCTGTTGGTTAAGGGCCAGTGGTTGTCTCCCTGCAATCTGAATATGTCTGTGTACCAGATTCTCCTGGGCCAATATGATGCAATGAGAATCACCAGTTTCTTCTCATTGCCCTATATTGGCCCAGAAGAATCTGGTACACAGATATTGCACTGGATGAAAAGCACTGAAGAAATTTGCACTGGAAGAAAGGCATAGGTTAGATGCCAGTGCTACAGGATCATTGGTCTTAGCCACAAACCGAGACAACCTGCTATTGAATTTGGAGGCCAGGATTATCCAGGTCTGGGGTCCCCCTTGTCTGACACATCAAGTTGAAGATGTGGTAAAGGGCCCATTCCATTGGTCCAGGTGGTGACAGCAGAGGTAATCCACCTTCCAATTGTGCATTCCTGTGTGATGTGAACAACGGAGATTGCTGGACAGTTTTTTTCTCCATTAGATGATCAGACTTGCTTGATTCAAGGCTGCATAACTCCTGGTACCCCACTGGTGATTAAGGTAAGCCACAGCTGTGGCGTTGATTGATTACACTGACTGGGTGTCCTTGGAGAAAAAGGGTTCCAGTGGTGCAGAGCCATCCTTATTGTTCTAAGCTGCAGGATGCTAATGGTGAGCTTGTCTTCCCCCAATAACCGTGTTCCCTGAGCTGTGAGGAATTGGGACACTCCTCCCCAGTCTGAAAGACTAGCATCTGTCATTATCACTTTTCCAGTGATATGGCAGAGATGACACCACTGTCAAGGCTTGGAGAGCCACCAAGCTAAGGGAATTCCTTGTTAGACTGGATAGGAGCATGTCGAGAGGAGGGGCATGCTTATTTCAAGTCAACAAGATGTTGTGTTGGAGAGGTCTCCAATAAAATTGGGCAAATGGACAGCCTCAAAGAAGGTGACCATGAGACCCAGAATTCTCATGGAGAATCTCACAGATTGGTGTCACTTTGATCTCAAGTTCCTGAGCAGGAGTTATGGGAGAGAGCAGTATTTTTTCTCTGGAAAGAAGACTTTTGCTTGGGCTATGTCTAGAATTCGGCCCTAGTATTCTAGGCAAAGAGAAAGGTGAAGAGCAGATTTTTGGAATTTGATCACTCAACTGAAAACCTGAAGAATCTGAACAGTCAGTAAACATTAGCAGATAGATGGCAGTTAGACTAGTGCTTCAAAAGAAAGCGGTCTTAATAACATATGACCTGGATGCCTTGATTGTCCCCAACTGCAAAGCATAGAAATCGCTGATGTGGACATGGATCATCTATTAACAATATAGTACCGCAGTTTGTCACCATTTCACAGACTAGCACAATTTTAGTGCCGGTTCATATATATGCAGATTGGATGAGGTTCAAACCGCATCCAATCTGCATGACAGGTGAAATAACAATGCTTCCTATGGTGCCTGTTCACATACAGTTGTGTTCAAAATAATAGCAGTCAGACATCACTAACCTGATCAATCACTGTTTTTGGTAGAAATTATATTTCTACATGGCAAATAATTTACTAGCAGGTGTAGTAGAGTAATAGAAATCCAACAGACCCAACAGTCATGACATGCATGTTGCTGATGCTGTGTAATTGAATCACTAATTGAAAGGGGGCATGTTCAAAATAATAGCAGTGTGGAGTTCTATTAGTGAGGTCATTCATTCTTTAAAAAACAGGTGGCAATTATTGCCCTTATTTAAGGAAGGAAGGCAGCAAATGTTGTACATGCTGGTTATAGTGCATTTCTCTCTGAAATTCTGAGAAAAATGGGTCGTTCCAGACATTGTTCAGAAGAACAGCGTACCTTGACTAAAAAGTTGATTGGAGAGGGGAAAACAAATAAATAAGTGCAGAAAATGATAAGCTGCTCAGCTAAAATGATCGCAAATGCTTTAAAATGGCAACCAAAACCTGAAAGACGTGGAAGAAAGCAAAAAACTACCATTCGAATGGATAGAAGAATAGCCAAAATGGCAAGGACTCAGCCAACAATCAGCTCCAGGAAGATCAAAGAAGGTCTAAAGTTACCTGTGAGTACTGTTACAATTAGAAGACGCCTATGTGAAGCCAAGCTATCTGCAAGAAGCCCCCGCAAAGTCCCACTGTTGAAAAAAAGACGTGCTGAAGAGATTACAATTTGCCAAAAGAGCACATTGACTGGCCTAAAGAGAAATGGTGCAACATTTTGTGGACTGATGAAAGTAAGATTGTTCTTTTTGGGTCTAGTAGCCGGAGACAGTTTGTCAGATGACCCCCAAACACTGAATTCAAGCCACAGTACACTGCGAAGACAGTGAAGCATGGTTGCGCAAGCATCATGATGTGGGGACGTTTCTCATACTACAGTGTTGGGCCGATTTATCGCATACCAGGGATCATGGATCAGTTTGAATACATCAGAATACTTGAAGAGGTCATGCTGCCTTATGCTGAAGAGGAAATGCCCTTAAAATGGGTGTTCCAACAAGACAACGACCCCAAACACACCAGTAAACGTGCAACATCTTGGTTCCAGACCAACAAGATTGATCTTAATCCAATAGAAAACTTGTGGGGTGACATCAAAAATGCAGTTTCTGAGGCAAAACCAAGAAATAGAGAAGAACTGTAGAATGTAGTCCAATCATCCTGGGCTGGAATACCTGTTCACAGGTGCCAGAAGTTGGTTGACTCCATGCAACACAGATGTACAGCAGTTCTCAGAAACAGTGCTTATACAACTAAATATTAATTAAGTGATTCAAAGGAAAGCAAAATCTTCAAACACTTTTCAGTTTATATGGTGAATGTTTGAGTTTGTAAAGAAGAACACAAACACTGCTTTTTTTTGAACAGTTTAATGTTCACTTTTCTTCAATTTTGTTTAGAGGAACAACACAAATTTGATATATTTTTCTTCATGTTTTGATTTGAAATAGAATGTGTAGTGTTCCCAATGCATTTGTGTGTATGGAAATAAAAGCTATTAGAAGGATTTTGAGCTTTATTCACTTTTTTCAACACACTGCTATTATTTTGAACACAACTGTATGTCCGGTACACTGGCAGTGCGGATTCAGCACAGATTGAAAAAAAGAGTCCTATATGATTTCTGAGCAGTGCGGTCTGGATAGAGCTTAGCAATGATTTTCGGATGGATTGCTCCAATCATCAAAAAATTGCCCATTCTATTAGTTCATTAACAGGAAATGTGTTTTCAGATTTAGCAGGTTTCTTTGCACCGAGAGAGACATAGCAAGATGGGAGAGATTCAAGCACAACAATGCTGAAGCTTTTGCGCATAGCACTTGCAAGCATACTGCATGATGCTGTGACATCAGGTACACAGGATCCTGGAGGTGAGACTCTTCAGCGGCTTCCTCTAACCAAGCTTTCGGATCATCTTCATTCCCTACTATGTCTGCCACTTTTGGGGCAGGCAGATATGCAGATGTTAAAAATGGGTCCTGCTCCGGTGAAAGGGAAGCCTTGTCACTATGAGAAAAAGTGTTGCTGGGGCCTTCGGCAGAACGAATATTCACCAGAGCTTTTGCTGTGGCTCCCTTTCACCTTGTTTCTGCCGCTGCTATGAGTGAAGGTATTCCCCTTTATGGTGCCCACAAAGTAAGTGTGTCCGAGAAGGAGTACACAACAGCTTAGGTGCAGACTGTCCTGTTGCAAAGTCCTCAAGGCAAAATGGCAGGAGGAAACTCATGAGTACATTAAAAGGGGCTATAGGCAGAAGTGGTGGTACAGATACCAGGGATTTAGTGAGCTTGCACTGATCCAGATGCATTGCTTCTATTGTTGTATAAGAAGACAGTGAGGAGTTAAGAGCTGATTGAAGAATCAGAAGAAAAAGTAAAACTTTTGAGCTAAATGACTTCTCCGTAAGGGAGAAGTGGTCCATCACCTTAGGACACTAGAAACAAGGAGGGGCATCCAGGGGGCATGTGGGCCAGCGCCCAGTGACCTAAAAAGATGCCAGCCTGTATCCTAGGGTCTATTAATAGTCTGCCTACATCCTGTATGATTAAGATATAACAATACAACAGTAGTCACCCGTTCACTTATTGTAACTTGCAATCAGTCTCTAAAAAAGCATCTTATAACACCACAACAGTCTATAAACATGACAGCTTCATGTGATATAGTATTACTACTCTGTAAGGATTCTTGTTCCATGCACAGTATGCAGTCTCATGTAACCTTACAGTAAATGTAGTTTCCTTACATATAGACAAAGTGATTACCTTTTAGCTACTTTAACATTTTTCAACAGCAGCAGCTATTTTCAATAATATCGTTGTCAGTATTGTGCAACACTTGGCCAGGAAAACATATTTGGTTCTCAAAACAAAATTCGCAAGAAAATAGTATCAAACACACAAAAGTGAAAAGGTTTATTACTTGATGTTATCTTCCTGTTTCAGCAAATTCCTCATCATTGAAACCAAATTGATCCACAAAATTAGAGGTCATCTGTTGAACTTGGTAGTCAGAGAAGGCCTGAATTGAAGAAAGAAAAAAAAAAAAAAAAAAAAAAAAAACTCACTAATACGTAATAGCTTCTAATATTTAGGCTGTGTTAAAAATCAGTGTTGTGTATGTGTTTTCAATAAAACAGATGTTCATGGATAAGTTCATCTTTTAGATAAAAATAATAAATGCACATTTTTTTGCAGGTAAAAAAATGTGCATTTATTATTTGTCTACAGGAGCATGGAAAGCATTGCAGCAGCGATCAGTAGATCGCTGATGCCAGACAGGTCTCCTGCAGGCCTGTCAGAATATCTGCTTGCTGTACGGGATGTTTGAACAAGCAGATATTCTGACAGGAAGCTTCAAGGAAATACCATGGTGCTATATTAGTTGAAAACTACAAGACGGCAGCTGCTAAGGTTGTCGGGACTTGCAATTCATTCATTCACACGGAAGTCCGTGAATGAATAATGCAGCCGTGTGGGCAGAGCCCCGCACAGCTGCGCTGTTTTCAAATTTGACATAGTACGGGGAGACTGCTCACCGTAACATCTGTCAGAGGGAGGGGGGGGGGGCTCTAGCGGGCGGCGCTGCAGCTATGGGGACATGTTACATGCTTCACCAAAAAAACAGGTGGAACATGTAACATGCTCCCAGAGGTGAACTTTTCTTTTGAATGTGTAACAGAAGTACAAAACATGAACTATCCAATGATTAGTCACTAGTACACCAATTACCCAAATGGACACAGGTATATTAAAAAGTAATATGGCTCACTTGCTGCACAGATAATTCATTGGGAAAAGCACTGTCAATATCTTCATCTTCACTTGAGGAACGCAGGTGGTGAGTATTTACCTAAAAAAAAAAAAAATGCAAAGTATTGCATTATGTGGTAAAACAGCCTTAAATGAGAACAGTTTTGATACAAATGACACACTGAAGACAAGATATTTGAATACAATTTGTATGAAGTGGTAGGAAGGCAAAGAAACAACTAGAAAAGCCAACTAAGTGAAGGGTCTATATCTAGACTAAGGCTGGCCATACATTATACCATTTTCTTGTACAATTTCCTTTAGATTTACCAAAACCATATAATAGGAGGTCAAACCTAAACACTTTCAATTTGCAGGCAATCAGGCAGACTATTGCACTACATAGTTGAAGGTAAATCTAAAGGAAATTGAATAAGAAAAATGTATAATATATGGCCAGCTTTAGGCTTTTAGAAAGGAATTGGTATAAAGCAGAAATTGATCTCAGAGGTTTCCATTTAGGCAGAGCAATAAAAGTGCATATACTGTAGATAATATATCTTATGTAAATAAATGAAAAATCAAATAATCAAAAGCCCTTTTTAAAATCCAAAGTCCCACTAACCACTACAATGCAATTTATTCCAAAATTTATTATGAGGTGATTCAGGTTTTTAGTTACAATCCCATGTATATAAGGTTCCTTTACCCACTTCCCACCTACCTGGCACAAGTGAGTTACTGACAGTCTCTCAGCAGGTGGGCTTTGCCACAGAGCAGCCACATATAAGCGACCTTAAGTAAACACTTTACTGTGTGTAAAACGTGCTGCCAGCAAAGTAACAAAGGGTACCTGAAAGAGCTCCCGGCATACTTGCGATCAGGAGCTTTCCAATCATGTGACCACTTTGACTACTGATCAAAGCGGATACATGATCAGAATGCCAGTCTCCTCCTCCCAGCATTTAGATCCTTTTAAAGGGCCGGGAGGTGGTGGCAGGAAGGGGTTAAAGAATACAAACCAAGGAATTGAATAGAACTGAAGGCATTGCTGAAGACATTCTTTTTATTTTGGATAAAGTAAGGGGGGGTTATGACCCCTATAAAAAAAAATTTTTTTACAATCTGTTTCCGTTCAGGGACTTAACCACTTGCTATCCAGAGGATTTACCCCCTGCGTGACCAGGTCAATTTTTGTGATACAACGCTGCATTACTTTAACGGACAATTGAGCGGTCATGCAAGGTTGTATATAAAAGAAATTTATGTCTCTCTTTTTTCCCACAAATAGAGCTTTCTTTAGGTGGTGTTTGATCACCTGTGCGGCTTTTAATTTTTGCGCTATAAACAAAAAAAAAGACAATTTTGAAGGAAAAAAAAAAAAAAAACAAAAAACTCATGTGCAGAGCAATACAAAGCAGCCTGTTCGTGCTGACAGGGGAGAGATTTGTATTGTTTACATATAGACCTCTCCCCTGTCAGCTCTGCCGACGACCACAGAGTCCCGGCCGAGAATCGGCGGCCGGGACCCAGTGATTGACATGCCGAGGAGCCAATAGCGACGTGGGTAGGGAATACCAAGAAATACAAAATCATGTACAGTATATATATGTGATTTTGCGCATTCTTACCACCCTGTAGTAGTTCTTCTGCTATAGGGCAGTCAGGAAGCAGTTAATTTCACTTTCTGTCCCACAGCCACAACAGGAAGAGAGAGGAAATCCCTCCAAAGTGAAGGAAATCCATGGTAGTCATTACGGTCACCAAAATTAGTGCCCCCAATGTAAGATTTCCCCCAACTATTCTGGTGGACATTCAAAATTTGCAATTTTCATCCAGTCATAAAGGTCACCAGGACAAATAGAGAGGGTGAATCTCACTCACAGGCATACAGAGAGCAATAGAAACCTGACAGGTATCCTAATCCCTCATGTAAAACAATTAAAAGTTTTGTCTTCAGGTGTAAAACAATTGTGGAAGTTAGAAACCTTCACCTACTGCTCCAATATTGGTCCCTATTGGCACCAGTGATATCGGCATATTTCCTGCCTACTATTACTCACAGAAAAATGCAAGTTCTCCTGGAAGGTAATCATTATGCCTAAGGCACATTCCTGCATTTCCCACTGTCCTTTAATGCTTATGGCCAGTTACATTTTGTCAATCTTACCAAATCTACAGTATTTCTGCGGTTAGTTTCAGTCAGGGTTTTCCTCAACAAATGTCTCCCATCTTCCTTTGCAATCTTCAGGCAACTCTACAAAATTTAAAAATAACATCTTTAAAGGACAATTTGCTTGTTTCGATAGTAAGAAGCCATGCAAAAACTTTAAATCCAGATCTAAAAAGAAGCTCTGTGGACTACTTACCTCAGGAGGACTACTTACCTCCCTCAGCTCTATTTTAGGAAAATACTGGAGATTAAAAAAACAAACAAAGCATTTTTTATACACTGATATTACCTGTAATAATGTCACTGATCTGTGCTTGCATAGGACCCTTTTCCATATTCTGTACAACTGCATTAGCAATACGTGTTAAGTGACCCATATTCCCTCTTCTCATGCCTCCTGCCGCCCTGCAAGCAAATACATATATATATTTTTATACATACATATGTTACCATTCTACTTTTGCAGAACCTAGAGATCTATATTCATATTCTAGCTTCCCAGAATCTAGGCATCTATATGTACACACGGATAAGCAAATTAGCATTTCTCGACTGCTATAGTAACTGGATAAAGTTCCTCCACTCCGACTTCATCAGCTAGGATAACATGGCACACTATGTGATCAATATATTTATGCCATTAACCTTAATGTAACCCAGAGCATTTACCAGCAGCATGCTGTATTGTTGCTTGTTTGGTGATAGTTAGGTCTGAGTAAGGGAGTATTTAATGATTATCGCCATGCCTGGTAGCTGTGAGGCATAGAAGTACTCATTAAGGCTCAGTTCACACTAGGGTGGGTGGAAGCAGCTGTGGGACCTGCACTTCGTCCTGCAGATGCAACCACCAGCATACAAAACGCGGGTACTATTAATCTTAATGGCATGCCACCCATACTGTAAATTGGAACCGCACTGCAGTGCAGTTCCCAGTGCGCCTGCAATTTCTGGAAAAGTGCAGGGACCTTTTCCCTCCGTTTTGTGTCATTTGCTGCTGTGCTGTGTGCCGCAAAAACGGCACTAGTGTGAACAAAGCCTTAGCCCCATACCACCAAAATGGACATAGTTTATATGAAATGCATGTCATACTTATGTGACGGCTATGGCAAGTTTGGGGGGAGACTTAAAAGAATTGCACACATGGCTTCTGATCGGAAAAGGGTGGATCTAAATAACACTGTACTAAGAGACATAAGGGGGCTGCCATTGCTTACCCTCATTTTAGGGATACTAGTTGCCTGGCTGTGTCTGACTAAGCTACAAACTCCAAACAAGCATATAAAAGTCAGACTGAACTATGAAATTCCATTCTATACATTTGTTCCATGGAAGGGTCTTAAAAAGTAACAGTCAGACAGCCATAATTTAAAAAAAATACATTGGCAATGGCAACAATGCAAAGACAGACAGAAAAGAACACAGTAACATGTGCCACAATCTTTGTAAGAAAAAAAGGAATTTAGATTTACCTGTAAATTCCATAACTTGGAGTACAGATCACAGTACATTACCATAATCATACAGGTCATAGGCGTAAAACCTTCAGGTGGCTGGACACTGGCAAAGTTTTAGATGACGAGCTCCCTGGGCACTTCCCCTATAACTATCCCAATTGATGAGTCCACAGTTTTGTAGCAAGCAATGTAGAGTAACACCCCAGTCACATCAAGTCCGACTTTGAAATCGTGAGACTTACAGTGAAGTCGCACGATTTCAAAGTTGGGTGAAATGCCGATTTCAAGTGCGATTTGCAAGACATCTGACACAGATGCCTATGCATATCGCACCAAAAGTAGCACATGTACTACTTTAGAAATCGATGCAGCTCCAACCAAGTCGGAACCGCACCGATTTGACCTCTCTAATTGCGGACAATAGGGTGCGACTTGTCATACGATTTCCAAATCGCATGCCAAGCTGCACACAATGTGACCGGGGTGTATTGTTCTACTTTACTCTAAGATATGAAACATACAGGCACGTCAAAATTCCTCTCATCTTAATTGTACAGTACTGGCATGTATTCATACACTATGGGACGTTCCTAAGCAATAAATAGGGGCAACAATGAGGCAAACATAATTGTGCCAACAGGGCCAAACAACAATGGACGGAAGACTCAACTTCAGAGTGCCGTGGCAACAACCTTGCAACCAAAAGAGTGGAGGGCAACCTCGTAAAACTTTGAAAAAGTATGAACAGATGACCAGGTGTAGGCCTTGCACAACTGTACTACAGGAGGCTTGGTGCCATAATGCCCAGGATATTCCTTCTGATCTGGAGGAATGAGCACACAAAAGCACAGGAGGAGATTTTTCTTTCAGAATTTAAGCTCAGATTCCTCATCAATCATGCAACGATGGACTTCAAAGCAGGGTGCAAGGTCCCGTGGACAGGACAAACAAGGAATCTAGATAGATTGGGAGCGCTAGATCATCTACCCAGTAAGGGATAGGGGGTGGATATATTAGTAGAAGGGCCATGTGAGAATGTCATCCAAGTCCATCTTTAATGGAAGGCTTATGGGTATGTGGGCTTGTAGGAGGAGCCAGATGGCTGTAAGAGCTTGTAGATACTCCTATATGCAGGTAGAAAAGAGACAGCGGTGCCACTCTAAGTGTAGATAGTTTTAAAAGCAGGCAAATTTGATCATACAATGCACTCACAAGAGTAGATTATTAAAAGCATGTCATGAGGAATGGTGGTCCAGTGGAGCGGATCGTTCTATGAGGCACTCTTGGTGCTCTTGATAGCTTAGAGTTCTGTCAGTAAGTTATGCAGATAGCAAAGAGATAAGCTATCAGAGAGGAACCACACTCAGTGCTTTGCAGAGGCTAGTACACACCAGAGTACTCAGCAGTCAGCAGCAGAAAGGACAGAACTCTTCCTACGGGATCTGCACTGCCCTGTGCAGCAGCAAACCCCCCCCCCCCCCCCCCCCCCCCCCCTATCTCTGCCTCCCTTGGTTTCAGCATCCAGCAGATTCCAACAGCTGACTCCTCCTCCAGACCCTGCACTTTCTGCATCCCAGCTCCGCCCCCAGCTTCTTCCTGGCAGCAGCACAAGGCAAGGCTGCACTTTGATGTAAGGGAGGGTGGGGGACTCTTGACTTCCGATGTCGAGGGGGCTATTGAAATCTGATGTAAGATAGGGGGGGACATCTGCTTATAATTATGAGAATACTTCAATTCTGTGCCAGTTGAAAAGGAGGATCACACACCACTGGCGTCCACAAGAAACTTTGACAGGACCATGTTTTGTCTGAGCAGTCTCTTGTAGATGATACCAGCAATGTACGATCCTCCTTTTCAGACTTGCATCATCTGCTACAGGGTGCAAGTGAGCTGCGTGCCAGTCTGCACCTGCCCTTCACAGCTTAAGTCTTAAGTTATTACTAAAACCAGTTATAATCAAAGGCAATTATTTAATATATGATATGATATAATATGATAAAGATTAGATACATTTATTACAGTCTTACAGATACAACTGGCTCTTTGAGGGCAATCATTACACTGATGCAGCCCACAGTGAAACACTCGTACACTAGAGGGATGTACTTTGTTCATTTTTACAAGCATTTTAGGCTAAGCGTGATTTTTTTTCCATGAAGGAGAAATAGTCCATCACCTTCAGACACTAGCACTAAACTGAGGACTCGTGGAGTGGGGTTATAGTGGGGGCACCCAGGGGGCATGTCCTCTAAGCTTTCCCAGTGTCCAATCACCTGAAGGTACTGTACATGCCTATAACCAATGGTGTATAAAAACTCTGTGTCCTCTACTGTGTGATTAAGATTATGCTTTCATTACTGTACCAAATGCAGGAGTCTAAGTCCTCGATCATACAGGGGGACTAAGCAGTGCACCCATCGCATTGGTAAGCACATGTGTTTCGTGCATCCCTATGCAGGTAGTCCTAATTATGTCAATTGGGAAGCAACAGCTGCATGGACAAAGTTGCTGCTTCCAATGTGACATCCACATGGCTACATGTACGTGTGAATAAATGCACTGTTTGAGTTTAGGGACATGCACTCACATGTATATCAGATTAGAAGCAACAGCTGTGTATGTGAATTAGATTGCGACATAATATACATCAATGGAACTGCCTGCATGGAGATGCACAGAACATCACCATGTGGGCAAACACAGCACTCCGTGGGCGTACACTTTAGCACGCTCTATGTGAACAGGCCTAAGAGACACGTACATATGTCAGCACAATTATTTGTAGAAAATGAAATTCTTCCATCACATATGCTTTCCTGCACACAGATCATCATTAATATGGTCAGTGACTACAGAGCAACCAACAACTGTTGTACAAAATAAATAGTGCAGTGGTCAGGAGTTTGTCATATGCATACAAAATTCAGTGATCTTAAGTACAAGGTTTGTAACACAAAGACAGCAGGGGTCAGAAGAGCCTAACGCAGAGATTAGTAGACAGTACAGCAAAAAAAATTCTCTCCAAACCAACCCCTCTCCAATTACAGATTTCCCTCCAGTACAGCTCTCCTCCACAGCTCTCCCTCATCCATAAACACCAGATCAAGCTGTTTAAAAAGTGAGAGGAAGTCCTCCTTGGGCTCGGTCCTGTGACTGGGGATGTCATGCTCTGCTGCTCACTAGTCTCCTAGCTGGGGGCTTTGATATTATGGAAGCAAAACTGTGCCTAAACCTCCACAGAAAGAAGTAGTGCAGAACAAACCATAGTAAGTTAGGAAGCATGTACTCAATCCTTAATCCTTTGCCCTCTACCTGCATTTTTTTGAGCACAGTTTCCAAAGTTCAGCTCTGCTTCAGAAGACAACTAAAATAAAATTGACCCAAACTGTTAAAAACAATAGTCCAGCTGCATAAAATGTAATTGTCTAAATGTCTACAAATCCGTTTTAAAAAGGGTACGGTATAAAGATTACAGCAAAGGAGAATAAAAAAAAATATCAGCCAGCTGTATGCAGGATATGGAACACAAAAAGTATGCCGTTAAGAGGAGTAATTAATCAAAAGCAGCCTTTTTTAACCAGAGTGCCCAGGCACCCTGGGGTGTCTTGAATTGTGATGGATATGGTGAAATGCCTATTCGGTTTCCTGTTGAATATATACTTTTTTCATACATATCTACTTTTATACTTTTTTCATATTTCTAAATATATGTGCTGTGCGTATATCTTTTGTCTGCTGGGCTTTGTAGTTCTCCTTAACTCAGAAAATGTCCTCAACCCCTCCCGTCGAGCTGTGAGGATCTTGTACCTAGGCCCTGGACATGTAAGGGAGTAAGAGTTAAGAGCTGCAACCAAGCATCAAGTTCCTGCCTTCTTCCTATATTTCAGCCAATCAAGATGTGCCTTTTAGACTATGACCATATTTGCATAATAATGACGTATACTCTATTGTTCTCTGTGTATAAAAGGTTAAGCACCGCCCTGCAATAAACAGAGATGAAGTGGTTAAACTGGACAGTTGTCAGTGTGATCATTTTCCGGCGTGCATGTGCAAACCATTTCTCAAAATTAGGAACATCAGCAGACATCCAACCCTAAACCCGATTGTGGTTCTCACAACCATTTTAAAATGTCTTCTGGGGTGCCTTGGCAAAATGCTTAAAAATTGGACAAAAATTGAATACAAGCCAGCAGGTGGCTCAAGCCAGCCTTTTAGTTACACAAAGCCACAGGTTTTCATTGTGTAACCATTTAAACCTTCAAGCAGCCAATGTCCTAAGAATCAATGACATTATCAGTTGATAAAGTGGATGTTGGGGAGCTGCACAGCATCCTTGTTTTCCCCTCCCCTGCTCCTGTCAATAATGGGGTCACATTAGCTAAATGAGGGAGAAAAACTGAGGGAGACGTGAAACACTGGAATACTAGTTAGTACCAGGGTGCAAAGGTGTGTTGGCTTTGGAAGAATAAATCATCTCTGACATTAGGTGTCCTACATGTGTGAATGTTGCCATTATTTCCATCTATTAGTTTAGTTTTTTACATTTGGGGTGCCTCAAGATTGTGCAAAATTTTAATGGGTGCCTTGACTGAAAAAAAAAAAAAAAAAAAAAAAGGTTGAGAAACACTGATCTAAAGTTTCAACAGGATGTAATCAATAAAATAGAGAGATCAGTGACAGAGGTAAACAAACACAAGCATACAGCTCCATGCACACTGGGTCTTTTAATAAAGCTGGCAACGTTAGCTGTGTACAGTCATGTTAAATATGTGAGTTTTCAGCGGGTTTTCATTAACATTTAGCCACTTTTTTTGCATTTGCGTATTTTAGCTTTATTTGAAAAAAAAAAAAAAAAAATATATATATATATATATATATATATATATATATATATATATATTTTTTTTTTTTTTTTTTTTTGGCACAAAAAATTAAGTCCAAAAATGCTGGTTTGCAGAGCTTTACTGCGTTTTTCCACGTTAGAGCGTTTTTACAGCTACAAAACTCCTCTAAAAACCCAATAGTTCTGGGGGGCTTTTTCCAGCCAAAAAACGCAGATTACAGTCTATTTGTGCATGGACACATAGGATAACATGCTGGCGTGTTTACTGGCTATAGAAAAAAAACACCAAAAGATAAAAACAGCAGCTGTACAAACGTCCAGTGTGCATGAGGACATGTGTCCTATTTTCTGTGCCAAAAGGAGATGCAACAGTGTTTCATCAGCATGGTGATTAACAAAACTCTGCTATACTGAATAGCCTATCTGGGCTCCAGTATTCACCACTTCAGTCTTTAAGTTGGTCGTAACCTGTTTGGGGTGATGTTCTTGCACTGTGCAGTGAGGACTTGTTTTTCAGTGACAACATACAAATTACAGGAGTATACCTCAAAGTTAAAGTCACAAGAGCCAATGGTATACAGATGTGTTAACTCTGTGAGGCTTATTCAGAACACTTGTATTTACATCGTCAGCCCTAGATCCAGACTTTCTTTCTTCCTTTGACCCTCAGAGCACCAGCACCTATACAGAATTTTTAAGGTAGAATAAAGGGATAGTGCAAACTATCATCAGTTTATTAGAAAAAAATAAATACGGCACTAGAGATCATTATATTTTCAGGGGATCTCATTTGACATGTCCGTGTTGGTGGCAAAATCTCCTGCTTCTGTAAGTTGGAGAAGGAAACAACTGAGTAATTTATGGAAGGCTCCCTCTGAGATCTACTGACAGAGCGTAGGGAAAACATAATAATAACATTGTTACCCTAATACTTAAAGAAAAACCCAAAAAGTGTAATACATTGCACCTTGCCAATCCTTAGATATGATGGCTGCATTCGTTTTATTATTCTGCCTTTATTCACCTGATGATCTGGTCAGTAACACACATAATATGTAGGCGCACAGGGGAACTGCAGAAACCAGCATTGTTAATCTGAGGGGAAGACAGTGTTAGATGTACTAGAAGATTTAAATACACTAACAAATTTAAACTATACTCTAGCTCACACTGCATTTACTCAGTTATAGAAAACAGTATTTTTCCTTTTGGGACAAAGGTTTTACATGAATAAATAAAAGCCGATCATTGTAAGCACCCCTGTGGTGAATGGTTTGTCTCAACACTTACACTTGCAGGAGAGCTTGTTCTGTTGAAAAACAGGACTTCCTGGCCAGATCACCAGGTGAAAATGAAACAAAGCCTAAAAAAGAAAACTAATGGAGCCATCACAACTAAGAACTGGTAAACTGCAATATAATAAATGTTTGCTTTTGAGTTTAATACCACTTTAAACAGTATCAATATTTGCTACAACAAGGTTTCTAAATACACAGAACACAATACTCACTGAATCTTGTCATTCGTATCCCAAGCATCCAATATTCTTTGAACCAAACAGCATTTCTGGAAAAGCTAAAACAAAATAATACTTTTCACTGAATCTGAAAAGGTCTAAAACAGGTAATAGAACTGACTACAATAAAGGAAAAGCAGGTCTCTAAAATTATGTTAAGTCATATAGTCATTTCCAGGTGGCAATAAATATAAAGAGCCAGCACTGTAAAATTTCTTTAAAACAAGTCCTCGATGACCATGTGCTCAGAGAGGGGGAGTGACAGTGCACTTTGCTCTCAAATGAAGCACTCTCAAGGTACCTGTCCAACATGTTGGTACAGGATAATTGATTATGTCCTGTTACTATGGTCAAGTAGTAGTACTGAAGATATGCAATTTATGTCTATTTTGAACAAAAATGTTTTCAATTTAAAATTTACGTTGAAATATAGTAAAATATGCATTCCTTTCTTGGATTTTCAAATCTCTCTCCAAAAGGATGGTACCAGTGGGACATCTCTACCATAAGCCCACAGCAGGCAATACCATTTTGCATGCCCGAAGTGGCCATCCATGTTCATTGGTAAAAAGCATTCCATACAGTCAGTATTTAAGACTGAGAAGATTGCTCTACTGATGATATGTTTCAAAAAGAGGCTGAGGCCTTGAGAAACAGGTTACTAAAAAGCGGTTATAAGACAGCTACCTTCAAAAAGGCGCACAACAAAGCAAAGGGTAGAAGCAGGCAGGTAATTCTTTTCAGCAAACGTGTCATAACTACATTATCTAATCCACATCTGCAGATCCGTAGCACCATGCAGAAGTATTGGCATTTATTGACAAGTGGCTCTCTTCTCAAGAAATATATTAAAGATTGTTCAGAGATCACTTACAGAAGGTCACCCCTACATATGTGACCGTATGGTAAGGAGTAACTATGTTAAAAAATGACAGTCATCACAAGTAGGCACTTTTAGATATGGATCTTGATGGTACAGGAAAGTACATAATTTAGGCTCCTGCATAGGATGCTGCATGAAACAAAACACTTTGTTGTCTGCCAAACAATAGGGGTGGTATACATCATGTTCTACCAATATGGCACATTTTAAGTAGGGAAAACGAAGAGACCTTTCCAGTAAGAATATATTATCATGTTAAACACACCAATTGGCAGACGTGCATTTAAAACATAATTAGAATACATCTGTAAATCAGATTTGCAGCTTTTGATAGGATATATGAAGACCCTAGGAGAAGTAATTTTGTTTTAGAAAATTCCTCCAAAAGGGAGACAAGATGGATATACAACTTAAAAGCTATCTCCAACCTGGGTTTAAATGAGGCATTAAATTGTGACATGTGACAGATTATATTTCGGATTTACAGCGTCTAAAATAAGTACTGAACACGTCACCATTTTTCTCAGTATGTAGATTTCTAAAAGGTGCTACTGACATGAAATTTTCACCATATTCCGGTAACAACCCATGCAATCCATACACACAAAGAAACCAAAACAAATAAGCCCAAAAAGTTATGTGCAATAGAATGAACTGACACAGGGAAAAAGTATTGAACACATGAAGAAAGGGAGGTGCAAAAAGGCATGGAAAGCCAAGACGCCAGCTGAAATCTATCAATTATTAGAAAATAATATCAGCTGGTTCAGTCTCAACCGATGGCCATATAAAAACGTGTCTCATTACAAAGGTGTCACACAAGAAACATCTCACGATGGATAAAAGCAAAGAGCTCTCTCAAGACCTTGTTGCAAAACATACTGACGGCATTGGTTACAGAAGGATTTCTAAACTTTTGAATTGTCCAGTGAACACTGTTGGGCCCATAATCTGGAAGTGGAAAGAACATCATTGCACCATAAACCCAGCCAAGACCAGGTGCTCCTTGCAGGATTTCTGACAGAGGAGTGAAAAGAATTAACAGAAGAGTTGTCCAAGAGCCAAAGTCAACTTATGGAGAGCTTCAGAAAGACCAGGAATTAGCAGGTACAATTGTTTCAAAGAAAATAAGTAATGCACTCAACCGCCATGGCCTGTATGCACACTCACCAAGCAAGACTCCACTGCTCAAGGAAAAGCATGTTGAAGCTCATTAAAAGTTTGCCGCACAACATTTAGACAAGCCTGTGAAATACTGCGAGAATATAGTCTGGTCAGATAAGACCAAAATTGAACTCCTTGGATGCCATAATACACACCATGTTTGTTGGTCAAATAACACATGGTGTGGGGCTGTTTTTTCAGCATACAGTACTGGCAAACTTCATATCATTGAGGAAAGGATGATAGAAAAAAAATGTACGAAGACATATTTGATGAAAATATACTGCCATCTACCAGGATGATGAAGATGAAACGAGGGTGAACATTTCATCAAGACAATGATACCAAACACAAAGTCAAGGAAAACTCTCAACGGGGCTCAGAGAAAGAAAATAAAGCTGCTGCAATGGCCCAGCCAATCACCTGACTTGAATCCAATAGAATATCTATGGAGAGAGCTAAAGATCAGAGTTCATTGAAGAGGTCCACATAACCTTAACCCCTTTGCGCTGGCCGCACACAAACGTGCGGCCTCCCGGCGTCTGGGCCTAGACGCCGAGCGGCCCGCACATTTGCGTCCATGTAACTAAATACATATGTGCTGAGAGCGCGCGCGCCTGCGCGCTCCCAGCACACGTGTGGTACTCACGGAAAGGTCCCGGTCCGCTCTTTCGAACGGGACCTTTCCCGATCATGTGACTGCCGTGACGCGTCATCACGGCGGTCACATGATTCCTAAGCCACGCCCCAACCGCCCCGCCTCCCGGCGTCTGAATCTCTTAAAGGGCCGGGAGGCATCGGCGGGAAGGGGTTAAAGACTTGAAGACTGTATGTGTGGAAGAATGGGCAAAAATCACACCTGAGTAACGTGTGTGACCAGTTTCTCCATCTAAGAGGTGTTTTAAGCTGTCATTACCAACAAAGGATCTTGTACGAAGAATTAAATAAATTTCAGTTAGCGTGTTCAATAATTTTTCCCTGTGTCATTCCATTTTATTACACATAACTTAATATCTGAACATATCGGTTTTGGTTTCTTTGTATGCACAGATTGCATGGGTTGTTACAGAGATGTGGTGAAAATTTCATGTCAATAGCACCTTTAGAAATAGATTTGCTGAGAAAATGGTGACGTGTTCAAAACGTATATTACCCCCTGTATATTGATCCACTACATGCCAGCTACTTTGCAATATGAGTCTATATTACACGCACTAACTCTATATACATGTTTAAATTTTACATGTTGAATCAATAATTGCACTATTTTTGCAAGCTGTGGCGCTGGATGTGGGTGCTTGCTTAAGGAGGGCGGACACTTGGGCATTGACCTATCCAGGTCAATATCTTTCCATTCTACCTACTGGCGTGAATGCCTGAAGCCTGTTGGGAGGAGCGCTTTGCTTCTGCAAATTCCATCCCTCCCAATTGGTTGCTACTTGTGGCTCCTCCTGTGGGATTGGGGCAGGCTGCCCTCACATGGCTGTGAATCTGGGGTGGTGCCATCTTGCACATGCACAGCAGTCGCATCCGCACCACCCGATGATGTCATCATCCGGCACGCTTTTGTGACTGCTCAGGCATCCATGGGAGGTGGGGACATATAAGGAAGAGGCTGAGAGGCAGATGGTGTCTGTACCATGGGGAGATCCTATGGTGGCATAGTCGGCATTCTGTTTACAACAGGAGGTGAGCACAACATAGGCTTTATTGCAAGGGAACATCACAGTATTTTTTGAGCCTTTTGATCTCTCTACTTGACTGATTTTCCTCTACTTGTTATCCAGCTTTAACCCACATGGGAGATGTCTCTTCCATCTAAGTTTGTCATTAATACTGGTGTAAAACATGGGGTTATAGAAGCGCAGATTTCTGGTTGCCATCTAGTGGGCCTTTTGTATTATTACACGTGTATTAATTTATGGCCATTACATGACATCTTATCAGTTTGAATTCTTGTTTTGGCTTAAGGGCAATAGAGGAATCAACAATTACCCATAAGTATTTATATTTATTAGGGTGTTGACCTATGTTGTTGAGCATATAGATTAATGATGGGTGCGGTACAGTAAGCTTATCAGCTTTATGTATTACTAGGCCTTGACCTCCATATAGAGATCCCAAAGCTCACTATATATTTTTGAGAATTTTGAAAAGTTGTGGACGTAGATTTAGACAGTTCTACAGGATAGGATATAAATGCCACATTTATATACACCATATACACAGGGGCCTAGTGTCTTTTTATGATAGTTTTATGATAGTTCTCTTCGATCCAACCCTTTTGTCCCAGTGTCTGCCCCCAGGGTTGACTCCAGTCTAGGTCGCTACAGCCACAGTTTATAGGTGTGGACATTTTGCATGTATTAATGTGTCCATATCCATTTCAGATGACTGTGCAATTTATATCTTACCTTGCATGTGATAAGAAATATTGTATTGTAATTCTTATTTATATTTAGTAAAAGTTGCTACTTCCTCACTTAATCCTCAAAATAGTTCTGAAGAAGCTGTCTGAGAAACGTGTTGACTTATGACAATCCATTACCACAAGGCCACACATTAACCATTCCATAAGCCAATTTAACCGGCCTAGATTGTGGGTGATAACTAGCAGCTTTTTTTTGTTAGTGATGAGGAGTAATGATAGTAGTAAGATCACTCTGATGCTATCTGTAGGGTCATGTTGATACATTTTAGATTTTAAAAGTAGTAGTAGTGCTGATGTATGTAATAATATTTTGTTTAAAGTGTTGTCTCATCCGTACCAGTAAAGTCTGATTTCCCTCCCTGATAGCCTTTAGTTATTTTTTTTATAGGGTTTAATAACATTTTAAAATTAGAGAGATTGCAGGTCGTCAATTTCAGCTGCTAGAAAAAAATAAGTTGATAAAAAGTCACAACTTAAGGGCCTCTGTTTTTAACCTTAAAAAGGAATTTCTGCAGTGTCAGCAGTTAAAAATGTCAGTGAGGGCTTATTTTAGCACAGGTGTACCTTAATGACTCACATGATAATTTATTAAGGCAGTGTAATCTGTACTTGTGTACAGTGAACTAAAGCAACCAATACCGTTTCACATTTCAAAAATGTAAAAAAAAAAAAAAAAAAAGTGCTGACTGGCTGGACAACCATACTGGGTGACAGGTAGGGAGAAGAAAAGCCATTTTGGCAGAACAGAATCCCCTATATCAAAAGCTTAGCCTCCTATTTTACCATGTGCTGTAGGGTAGGTGAATATTTGCATAAAACTGAATTCCTGGTATTGTAATTTTTACAAAGTTATGTTGTTTTAGCTTGGACCCATGTAAGTATTTGTGTGCCATAAGCTATGGGATCCATTTGGAAATCACAGTAGCAGGAACCATTACTACAGTGATTGCCACTAGCTTCCAGCAGTGTTAATTTTTACATCAAATTTCAATTTCGTTTTAGTCCTAGTCTTTTGACTAAAATGCCATTTTAGTTGTAGTGTCAGTTCACATATATGCAGATTGGATGTGGTTTGAACCGCATCCAATCTGCATGACATGAAATAACATTGCTTCCTATGGTGCCTGTTCACATATATCCGGCGCATTGGCAGTGCGGATTGAAAAAGAGTGATGTCTGATTTCTGAGCAGTGTGGTCCGGTTCAGGTTTGGATTACAGGCTATTGACTTCTGTGGGAACCATTTTTAAACCGCACATATGTGAACAGGATAAATTCCTGACATGAACCTGTCCTGACCTGATGTAAACCTGACCTGAACAGCTGAACAACTATTGTGTCAGTTAGCTGTGAAACCTGAGCTTACGTCCGCACCACACGTGTGAATCAGCTCTTAATCGTATTTTAGTCATCTGAATTGTTTTAGTTTTAGTCGTATTTTAGTCGACTAAAATCTCCTGTACAATTTTAGTCGACTATAATCTAATGGGTTTAGGTAAATTATAACACATTTAAAAATTTCTCCAGCACTGATAAACTCATATACTCCTGGTGTAATAATCTAATAACATTATGTATGGTATTAAGATTTGAACATGCACTACAGACACAGCTGTAAATGCAATTGCACATATTACCTGAATATATTACCAAGATTACATATACCGGTATATATTTTTTTTTTTATAAAGCGCCTTTTTCTTAATTTTTTTTTCTTTCAGCAACTTAGAAGATGCCCCCTACTTTTACTTGTGTGGTAGTGCAGTGTTAATTTGATGCCAAATTTTGATTTAGTTTTAGTCATAGTCTTTTGACCAAAATGCCATTTTAGTTTTAGTCATATTTTACTCATCTGAATTATTTTAGCTTTAGTCGTACTTTAGTTGACAATATTAACACTGGCTTCCAGATCTGTGCCAAGCGGCTGCTCTTCTGCCTACTGAACACAGGAAGTCATCCACTTAGGATGGGCACCATTCAGAGAACACTTTGCATTTTCTCAATGAATGCAACATGTGCTTTGATTAGACAAGGTGGAGATTGTGACGTCACCGTCCTGCCTCTCTATCTCATCCATTCACAGAACACTTTCATTGAGAAAAAAGCATAATGTTCCTTGAATGGCTAGCGTGCAACGCAAGCAACCTCCTGTGTTCACAACGAATCAAGGCAGCCGCTAGCATAGATCACAGAAGTAGTAGTGTGTACTACAGTCAGCTGGATCAATGTAACTATGTAAAAACTGCCACATATGGAATACATCTTTAAACAAGATAATCCACCTTTCAAAAGGACTTTGCACCAAAGTATAAATGTCCACTTATTCAGAGTAACTCCTTTATTCAGTTTAAAGCGGAACTAAAAGGGTAAATACCCACCTACACAATGGTATCTCACCAGCATCAACATCATCTTCAGAGTGCTGGTCTTCGGGCCTCTTCATTGGCTAGCAAGAGATGAGGACACTCTGGCGCATGCACAGGATCCAGTCATCTCAAACAGAGACCGTCACAGCGCTGTAAACTGAGCTGCGCATGCACAGCTCAGTTTACAGTGCCGGAGAAGACAGCGAGCAGGCAAGTAGCGGCATTTAATTGCAGAAGAAACATTGCATGCCCGCTTGCTGTTTCTACAGTGGAATTCTAGTTTCTTTTTAAATGTTAAGTATATTTTTTAAGTTGTACAGGGACTATTGTACATACAGAACCAAATTCATGATTCTTAAAAATTTCAGTGGATTTTGACACGGCTAAGACATAAGAAATAAGGACATTGCAGTATTCCAAAAATAGATTTACATGTGTAATCATGAGATCCTCTTGCTCGGGTACTGATTTCTCACACTCTTCTGTATTGCCATTAAGTGGCTCCTCCGTTTTTCTCTCTTCTACAATGGAAGCATTTCTTCCCTCTTGCAGAGAATGGGAGAGGATTGCTGCTATACACAACTCAACCTGGACATGTAGAAAATTATTCCAAGTGTACCGGAAAAACAGGTCCTGTTTTTGAAAAGAAATTAATAGAATTTAGATAAACATGTTGCATGCAATTCTTAAAGTACAAATATGTTCCTGCAGGACAGTCTAAACCCAGTGTTACTTAACATTTTTTCAGTTAAGGCACCCTTTAAAATTGCGCCCAATATTGGGGTACACCAGTCTGAGGGCTCATTCATGCCACTGCATTGAAAAAAAACACATCACATAAGAACATGTATATAAAAAAAAAAAAAAATTTTTTTTTTTAGATTGCGCAGGCTTGTTCAATGGGCTGCTCTATGCACATTAAACATGCAAAAATGGTACTGCCATGATTTTTTGTTTGTAAGCCACACCAAAGACACATGGAACCATGTGTTTTAGAGGGAGCAAAAGCATTTGCTAGATGTGTGGGGGGTGCCATTAAAAATTAATGGCACCCTCACGTATCTGCAATGGGAAGTGCACACGTGTTGTGAACAAGCCCTAAAATGTAGTTTGAAGCAGAGTTCAATGGTCTGTAGGTTGTAGATCTTCTCCCCAACAAATCAACCCTGCTGGCACAAATTCTGTTCCTACTCCACTCTACTAGCACAAAACCCATCATCCCAAGCACAAATGTTTGTTACCCTTCCCCTATTGTGTTCTCAGTACTTATAGTATGTGGGCAGGTAGCCAACCCTGCACAGAGGGGTTAAAAACAGACCGGACCAACGCTGGTAGTACTAAAAGGTTTCTACGCTAGGTAAACAAGAAGGTTTAGTCTTAAAAATCATTTTGTACTAGTGCAAACCAAAAAAAAAAAGGACTCAGGACAAGATGGAGCTGCTAGCTCAGAAATACCAACATAATATCTCTAATTCGCTCAAAAGGGGGGGGGGGGGTGTCTCTGAAGCGCAGAGAGCGCCAGGTAATGATAGGGCAACTTCCTGTAGATAAGTCCCGATATGGGGCAAGCGGTTTCTGGAAGTGGATGGGTAATGCAGAAACTTGTCCCTTGGGGGTAGTCATAGTCAGAAGCTGGTGAAGACTGAAGAAAGGCTACAAGATTCCCTGAGAGACAAGAGATTGCCTATGGTTAAGCTTTGTCTTCCCAACAGACAAAGTAGGCCTTCCCTGAGTGATGGTCAATCTTGCAGCAGTTGGATTTCCTTGCTTGGAGTAAGTTAGGAATGACCGAATCAGAGATACCCATATCCTTTAGGCTTTGGTTTCAACAGCCAAGCTGTTTAAGGCAGTTACTGAGGTGAAGGGAAGTAAAAATAAAAAACTAAAATAATATGGTTGCAGAAGTGTGCACACCCTTAAACTAATACTTTGTTGAAGAACCTTTTGATTGTATTCCAGCACTCAGTCTTTTTGGGTATGAGTCTATCGGCATAGCACATCTTGACTTGGCAATATTTGCCCACTCTTCCTTGCAATAACACTCCAAATCTCTCAGATTGAGAGGGCATCTCCTGTGCACAGTCCTCTTCAGATCACCTCACAGATTTTTGATCGGATTCAGGTCTGGGCTCTGGTTGGGCCATTCCAAAACGTTAATCTTCTTCTGGGGAAGCCATTCCTTTGTTGATTTGGATGTATGCTTTGGGTCATTGTCATGCTGAAAGATGAAGTTCCTCTTCATGTTCAACTTTCTAGCTGAAGCCTGAAGGTTATGTGCCAATATTTACTGGTATTTGGAACTGTTCATAATTCCCTCTACCTTACCTAAGGCCCCACTTCTAGCTGAAGAAAAACAGCCCCTAAGCATGATGCTTCCATCACCATGCTTCACTGTTGGTATGGTGTTCGTTTGGTGATGTGCAGTGTTGTCTTTGCGCCAAACATATCCTTTGCAATTAAGGCCAAACAGCTGAACCTTGGTTTCATCAGACCATAACACATTTCCCCACATGCTTCTGGGAGACTTCTAGGAAATGTGTTTTTGCAAAATTTAGCCGGGCTTGGACATTTTTCTTCGTAAGAAAAGGTTTCGGTCTTGCCACTCTATCCCATAGCCCAGACATATGAAGAATATGGGAAATTGCTGTCACATGTACCACATAGTACATAGCACAGTACTTGCCAGATATTCCTTCAGCTCCTTTAATGTTGCTGTAGGCCTCTTGGCAGCCTCCCAGACCAGTTTTCTTCTAGTCTTTTCATCAATTTTGGAGGGACGTCGAGTTCTTGGTAATGTCACTGTTGCGCCATATTTTCTCCACTTGATGATGACTGTCTTTTCACTGTGTTCCACGGTATATCTAATGCCTTGGAAATTCTTTTGTACCCTTCTCCTGACTCATACCTTTTAACAATGAGATCCCTCTGATGCTTTGGAAGCTCTCTGCAGACCATGGCTTTTGCTGTAGGATGCAACTAAGAAAATGTCAGGAAAGACCTACTAGTACAACTGAATTTTATTTGGAGTTAATTAGAGGCACTTTAAATGATGGCAGGTGTGTACTGACTCCTATTTAACATGATTTTGAATGCGATTGCTTAATTCTGAACACAGCTACATCCCCAGTTGTAAAGAGGGTGTGCACACTTATGCAACCACATTATTTTAGTTTTTTTATGTTTACTCCTCCCCCCCTAAAAGATTTCAGTTTGTTTTTCAATTGAGGTGTACAGTTTATAGGTCACATTAAAAAGGTGGAAAAAAATCTGAAATTATTTATCTTTGTCTCATTTTTTTACATCAGAGAAACCAGACATTTTCACAGGGGTGTATAGACTTTTTATATCCACTGTATAGCAAAATGGTTTATGATGAAACCTAGCTAGCTTCTCCCCACAATAACCACATTTCCTAGAGGAGCTAGAGCCCACGGGTACAGAAGGCAAGGCCATCTGTCAGGGGCCTCCTGGATTCCACTCGGGAATTTTGAAAGAGAAAAGAGGAACACCAATTGCTAGTCTCTCTCTTCCTATCCCCCTTGGTCTGCCAGGATTGATCATATAGTTAATTAGGGGGGGGGGATTGGGGTACCCACCCGGTCTGACCAGGCTGACCCGACATGGTCCATGTGGGCCCCCTCTATCCTCCTAGCACTCCCCCTCAAGAAAGGCACTGAGTCCCGTCTTGGACTTGCCCGCAGTCACTGGTGCTGCCATCCCTTCCTCCTTCTCCATGAGGTGGTTCGGCCTGGTCTCTGCTGCAAAAGCCAGGTGTGCCATCCTGGAATGTCAGCTGACCACTCTCAGGCACCCTCCTGCTGTCTTCCTCTCTCCCTGGTGTCCCTGAGACTTCTTGCGGGTCATGCTGTGTTCCTGGCTCTGCCTACTTCCAGTCATGTGGCCAGGAGAACCTGTGGAGCCAGAGTGAGGCTTGGAGTGCACGCCTCCTCTTCCTGTTCCTCTGCAAGCTGATGGGTACTGAAGACTATGTGGGGGAGAAGGAGACAGTAGCCGGGTGGCCTCCATTTGGATTTGGGACTATAAATAAATTTGAGTAGAAATCTCAAAACCATTCTTCTGTAGGAACTGGTGCAACCACTTCTTGTGGCTGAAGTTAGCGCTAGGTGGTCATCAAATCTGCTTGTCTTTGGTCTGAAGCTGACAGTTTGCCAGGTAAAAAACTCAGATCCAGACAGACACAGAGGCCAACAGATGTCCCCCCCACTGCAAAAAGTGGGGACAGCCTTTGTTTTGAGGAAGGCTTCTAGGATAGAAGTGGGCTTGAAATTAAAAGGAAGTGGTAAGCCTCAGTTTGAATGTTGACATTTGAGGAGAACGGAAAGGTCCCTTTCTTTGAGCGGAGGTAGAAGCCATGGAGTAGGAGACTTGGGCTTTTTCTAACAAAGATTTTATTGGCTGTAAGCAAGTTGTACATACAAAAAAAGCCAACAGAGGCCATATCAAACATTCAGAATAAAAATGTAGACATCAGCTGAATGAGGCCTTTAGAGATATAGCCAAAGAAGGTACACTAAAAAATATGCATGATAAAACAACAAAGAACAGCCTCACAAACTGAAGGCTGCTGTATAGAAATGAGGGCTAAAAACACAAAGTAGTCAAGTAGGAACAGATGTGTAAATAGCAGCAGAGCGTCTCCAGTGGAAAATAAAAGGGGAAGAGACCAATTATGTAAAAAGACAGCCTAAGCTGGAGGACACCTTATCATTAAATCAAAAAAAGAGAAAAGTGGAGAGGGGGAAGTCATACCACTTTTGTATGGTGCACTGTGCACCATACAAGTCATTCCTGAGCTAGGGTGTCCATGATACACAAATTGTAATGTTTCACTTTCTATACTGTACATTACATATTTCTAGCCCTGCCACTCTGCATACTACTCACTCTTGAATGTAAGATTCTCTATAATGTGCTGCCTGTTACATACACCTGACCGCTCCACTTTGAGCCCTATACTGTACCTTATATACTCCTGATTGTGCTGCTATGTATGCCGTACTGTGTGTTGTATACTCTTGACTACTTCACTCAGTATAGGGTGAGAGAAAAGGAAGGTATTTACATGTACATTACACTTAATCATTACAAAACTATTTCCAGATAAACTGGTAATAGCACTTTACTTCTAGATTACCCTCTAAGAGATCTTGAGTTGAACTGGGATCTGGAGCTTTAGATTTACCAAAAGAAAAAACCTGCTAGTTATATTAGATTCGTTATAATCCAGCCAAAAGACACTCTATAGGAAATGTACCCAGCCCAGAATAAAAAGGGAAGGACTGATGCAAACCATATCATATAACCAGCTGTAACAGCTACTGTTTAGCTACAAGGAAGCTTAGGGGTATGGAGTGGCAGTGTAGAGGACAGAAAAGGAAGAAGGGTTCCTTTCTGAGCGCAAATAAAACTTTAAATACTTAAAAAAAATGGTCAATAATAAGTGAAGTCCATAAAAATGATCTAAACAATTTTTGCTTGCTATAACTCACAACTAATGGTTGTTGAACACTATACAGATATGAAACCATTTAAAATAAACATGGAAAAAGCAGCAGAAAACATGGTAATCTTCTGATGTTGCAGTTAATCTTGTCCTCTTATATGAAATACTTACAAGTAAGAGATCCATGGTGCCAAGCCGACAGAGCTCTTGGTTAACACTAGGAGTATTGGCATGCAACAAGGCAGCTATGAGGCGTGTAGTGTGGAGCCGGGCATTGCCTAAAGGTTCTTCCAAGATACCAATAGTGGTCAAGATTGATTCTTTCTGTAATACAAAATTATAGAACAGCTAATGCAATCATTGTGATTGATTTATCAGTACCATGGATGGTAAATCTGGCTGTCAATCATAAATACAGTTGTGCTCAAACGTTTGCCTACCCCTAGAGAATTACATACCATATGTACCATTTTTAAAGAAAATATGTGTGAGCAGGCAAAATCATAACACAAAACATGACAACAAGTAAACAAATTAAATGACTCCTGTTCAAAAGTATGCATACCCTTCGCTCTTTATACTGTGTATTGCACCCTTTAGCATCAATGACAGCATGCAGTCTTTTGTAATAGTTGTCTACGAGGCCCCAAATTTTTGTGGTACAGCTGCCTATTTGTCTTGGCAAAATGCCTACAGGTCATGCAAAGTCTTTGTTTGTCTTGCATGAACCACATGTTTCAGATCTCCCCAGAGTGGCTCGATGATATTAAGGTCCGGAGACTGTGATGGTCACTCCAGAACCTTCAACTTTTTATGATGTAACCATTGGAGAGCCAACTTGGCTTTGTGATCAGCCAATGACTGATATGAATAGTGGCCCATTGCCAGTACTATGTAACCGCTGTGACCAATCACAGCAGGTCACATGACAATTGTAAATAACGGATGGCTTCCTTTCATGCCATCCATGGTATACAATTGTGTTGCTAGCTGTGATTGGTCACAGTGATCACATGGTACAGACTGGGCCAATCACACCCATCTGTGTCATTTGATTAGATGTGGCCAATCACAGCTAATCAAAACAAACTGAACGAATCTATTTCATTCAGTAAAATGCTTGTTTATAGCAACAAAATTAATTGCTATAAGCAAAGTGTAAAAAAAAACAACAATAATAGTAATCACTTCTCCAGAGTAGTACAATGTTACTATGGTAAGTTTATATTACTCTAGTCACAGTGTATTATAAAAATCATTAAATAAAAAAATAATTTAAAAAAATTAGAAAAAAAATTTTTTTTTTTGTGTTGTCACCAGTCAGTGTCTCTGATCACAGCAACAACAGTTATATGACGACGCTGTACAGCACTGGTGACGGTGTTAAAATAAATAATACTGATCACTTCCCCAGAGTATTACAAAGTTACTATGGTAACATATTACTCTGCCAGTGTATTATAAAAAAAAAATCATTTAAAAAAAAAAGGAAAAACAATTTAAAAAAAGAAAAAATTTTTTTTTTTTTTTTGTACCGTCACCAGTGTTTCTGATCACCGCTACATCAGTTATATGATGACGCTGTACTGCACTGGTGACAGTATGTGTAAAAAAATGTAATTTTCCAAAAATTTATGACAAAAAATTACAACTTAAAAAAAAAAACACCCACCATGCCTCTTACTAAATAACTTAGACTGTCCACTTTAGTTTGGGGGAAATCTGTGCCTCCTGGCATTTTTGAGCCTCGAGAAATGAGATCGGCCATCAGTACAGGAGGATTGATTGATTTTCAGATATACAGGTGTACCTCGGTTTACAAACGCCTCTGTTAACGTAATTTTGGTTTACGAATGAAAATCCTTTGAAAATAATGCCTCGGTTTACTGATTTTTAAAAAAAAAATTCGCAATACGAAGTGTATGTCAGTGCCAATTTTTAAATGCAATTATCGGCTTTTTTTTTCTTCACTATAGCTCACAGAGCGGTCACTTTCCCTGGAGCTAAAGGAAGCTTTGCTTCTTTTAAGAAACTAAAAGAAATCATTTTTTCTTTTAACTTGGGGAAATAAACTAAAAAGAAACTCTCTTTTAGCTGGGGGGAAAGTGACAGCTGAATCTCTGAGCTATGAAGTCCCTTCGGGACTGGTATGGATTTTTATAGGGTAACTCCCACGCCAAAAATAAATAAATAAATAAATTAAAAAAAAAAAAAATGGCATGGGGTCCCCCCCCCCCAAAATCCATACCAGCCCCTCATCGGAGCATGCAGCCCTGCAGGTCAGGAAAGGGGGGGGGGGGCACGACGATCGAGCACCCCCCCCCTCCTGAACCATTGCAGGCCACATGCCCTCAACATGGGGGGGTGCTTTGGGGCAGGGGCCTGCTCCAGTGGTGGTTTGACAGTTCTTAAATAGGTAAGGGGCGGGGCCACCCGGGGACATCACGCATGTGACATCAATGATGTCACCTGGGGCGGGGTCACTCGGAGCAGGCAGACGGCTGGAAGCCATCTTCGGAAGCTAAGCCTTTTTAATTCTTTTTTTCGGGGTGGCAGCAGGCATCGTGATTGACATTGGATCTACTGCGGGGGACATTCTTTTAGCTTTTTCTTGTAGCCTCCCTAGCGGTCTGATTATGTCAGTATTTCTGTGCTCAAAGCGGTACATTTTTTTTGCATGGAAATATGTAGTTTTTTTATTGTAGGCCTATAATTTTTAGGAATAACTCACTTAAATCTGTTCAAAATCTGTTACTATCACTGTTCTCTAGCTGGTCTAAACCCGCTTTTGACCTAAAGGGACGATTTTGGGACGCCATGGACATTTCTCAGTTTCAAGGCAGAAAGAACAGTAAAAATGCAGGCAGGGCACAGGACAAAGTACTAGGGATAAAATGTATGCGAAATGGTTTGATACAGTAATGTTTTACTATGTGATTTTAGTGTATTGAGTGAATGTCACTTTTTGACATTTTTAAATTTCCCGCCAGTTCCAGCCCCCGTACGTCCTGACGTCGCAGGGAACGGAACCCAGAAGACAGATGCTGGCATCTGCCGGAGGACATTGCCAGGGACGCTGCAGGGGGGACATCGCGGGAGCGAAGGACAAGGTAAGTGAAGAAGAGATCCCAGAGCAACCCTTCAAGATATTCCCGAGTGTAGCTTGGGGTTACCGCTTGTGGTTCTGAAACTTTACCCCAAGCTACACTCGGGAATACCTCCAGGGAGGTTAATAAAGGACTTGTCAAAGACCGTGTCCTGTCTTTTTTCACACTACACTTTTTTGTGAATGAGTATAGGGACCATGTACCCCATACTAATTCACATTGGGGGGGCGGGATCTTGTTAAAGGGGGCATCCAGATTCCGATAAGCCACCTGCCCGCAGACCCCCACAACCACCGGCCAGGGTTGTGGGGCAGAGACTCTTGTCCCGATCAACATGGGGACAAGGTGCTTTTTGGAGTGGGGGGGGAACCCCCTGCTAAAAGGGCCCCCCCATGTTGAGGGCATGTGGCCTGGAATGGTTCAGGAGGAGGGGGGTACGCTTGCTCGCGCCCCCCCCCCCCTTTCCTGACCTGCTGGGCTGCATGATATGGGTCTGGTATGGATTTTGGGGGGGGGGGGCCCCCATGCCATTGTTTTTAAAATTTTGGCGTGGGAGTGCCCGTCAAAATACATACCAGAGCCAAAGGGCTTGATATGGATGGGAGGGAGGACCCCACGCCGTTTATTTTTTTGAATTGCCAGCAATTCTTTTACATTCAGCTGTCAGTGGGGAACTCCGTTAACAGCTGAAACATTAACACATGGTTGTCACTACTAAACTACCACATGACTTGATAAAAACTCATGCGGTATTTTAGTAGCGTTTACTTTTTTCTGACCTCAGGAACGGATTAATTGGTTTTCAATGCATTCCTATGGGAAATGGCGTTTCAGTTTACAAATTTTTCGCTATATGAACAGTCCCGCAGAATGAATTAAATTCGTAAACCGAGGTATACCTGTATACCATAGTTTGTGGACTCTATAATGTTCCTACAGACTAAATAATATGCACTGATTGGGGTTATTTTCACCAAATAAATGTAGCATAATACATTTTGGCCTAAATTTATGAAGAACAATCATTTATTTGAAAATTTTTTATAACAGACACAAAGAAAATGTGTTTTTTTTTTTCCAAATTTTCTCTCCTTTTTGTTTATTTGGTAAAAGATAAGAAAAAAAAAACAAGTGGTGATCAAATACCACCAAAAGAAAGTTCTATTTGTGTGAACAAACTGCTAAAAATCTTGTTTGGGTACAGTGTTGCATGGTCGTGCAGTAGTCATTCAAAATGCGACAGCGCTGAAAGCTGAAAACTGGCCCGGGCAGGAAGGGGGTAAAAGTGCCTGGTATTGAAGTGGTTAAATAAAACAGCTTTTTGGCATGAGCAGTCATTTTCAATATCAATGCCAAAATTTCACGGTTTCTGTCAGGGTATGCAAACTTTTGAGCACAGCTGTAAGATACTGCTCCCTGTTCAAACAAAGAAAGTGTCTTAATTGTTATCTGTACCAGCTGGGGAAAACACAAAACAATGCACTGGATATGACAAGGCGCTGATGCTAAAAATCAGCACAGGAACTAATATTTAGTGCATATGATTAGGTAAATTTTATTTTTAAAGTGGCTGAAAACCCTCACATATACCCAGTGAAGTAAATAGCATCAAATGATACACAGAGATGACAAATCCTCCTGCATACGTTGTACCTGTTTATCTGTAGCACTTTCTCCTCTACATCAGTTCAGAGTACAGAATTTACACAGGATCTCTCAGCTCTGAAAACCAGAGAGCGGGGGATCTGAAGCCTCACCGTACAGATCTTAGTGAGAGCAGCTCCGAGCCCTGACTGGAGGGAAGGGACATACCACCCTTCACACAGTACACTGAGAACATGCAGAACTGTGGTTGTCAATCACAGGCTCTCCTCATCCATCACCTTTTTATCTTTTGATATCAGGAAAATCTGTCTCATGCAGATAGAGTAATATGGCAGCAGAGAGAAATCACACTTAGTGCTTTTAGATTAAGGCAAGTACACAGCATAGAAGGATACACTGAATATTCTTATAACAGAATATATAATGAACATTGTTTGCAATTCTCGACTAGAGGATAAAATGTTAACAAGTAAAAATTCACCTTTGGAGGATGTTGAAGCAGGTGGTGAAAATCCTTCAGGCGTGATTCTATACCCTGAAGAATACTACTGCTCACAGCAGGACCTTGTCTCTCAAACCCCTGAGGAAGTGCATCTAGGAGAGGATCCGTACTGCAGATAGCAAAAGAAGTAATTAATCACTACCAGTGACAAATCAAGAGAGGAGGAAAAAGTAAGAAAGCACAAACGTAGCCAAGAGCCAATCTATTCTAGGCAAAATAGAATAATGAGCTCAAATAAGTTTTAATTTCAGCTAAAAGACTTATGGAAGAAGATGTGTATGGAATGCCAAGTTAGAAATATGATGCAGGCTTGTCAAGAGACTAGCTTATGTAATAAACAGAAGCAACTCAGCCTTTATATTTATCACACAGCCATTTCTAGCAGAATCGCAGCAATGACATACCTTGATCTTCTAGTTTCCAGAAGAGTCAGCAAGATCTGAGTGCCGCTCACAACACAGCTGTCAGTCTGCTCTCCATCAAACATATTGTGCAAAAGCTGCTCCACGCACTGCTGCCTGCAAAATGGCAAACCAAGATTAAATACTATAAAAAATGTTTTTTAAAAATCATCCAGGGAACTGCATCATTTATATGATCTTTAGCTATATTGAAGGACAGCACATAACTTTCAGAGAAATTAACATCCTTGCCATATAAAAAAAAATGGGGAAATTAACAATGATTCATGTGCCATTATAATGGTGCAAGAAAACTGGCATGAGTAGTGTGCACCACATTAAAAAAAGCAAATAGACCTTTTCAGGTCTACCAGCACCACACATTCCAGTTTCTATTTCAGACGAAAATAGACAGTGGTGCAAAATCTGTGCCTAACAAAAGGGGTTATAGCAGACTAAGCCTAGCTTACAGGACAGTACTAACCTGGAAGATAGCTTACATGTTTCTCTTCACTAATGTAGTGAACACACTATAAAAGCTGAACCTGCATATAGGCAAGGAAAGACCTTTTCCCTGCCTATATGCATGGACTTATACCATTGCAAATGTACAGTTAACAGTCATCCTCCTCCCTCTCACTGAGGGCAAGCAGATCCAAGTATCCTGCTTTCTACGTCTGGCAGACACAGCACTGGAAAGCAGATTTCGCCCAATTAACAAAAGGGGCATATGTCATCTTTGTTCATTATACATTATATATTCATTTTAATAATTATCCACATTGTATGTGCTGTAGGGCATGTACAGAACAAGTCAGTCAATAGTAACAGATTGTGCTGTAGCTAAAATTATTACACAATTAGAAAAGGGTTTCACAGATGAGTGAAATAAGGCACCATATCCAATAAGGCACTAGTACTACTTTTATATTGTGATTGGGGAAGGGGGAATAAGCCTACTTCTTGATGTTTTACAAGTGAGATTCCACCCCGAGCATATATAATGGTGTTTTTCCAGTGAGATACTACTTCCAGCGCACACATTGATCTTTTGACTGCATCCCTCCCTTCTGTACATACAAGTACCAGGCACAGTATAGTGGTTCATAACTAACTGCAGCTATGTTTTGCGTGGTCTCTGCCCCCTTCTCTTCTAAGCAACAGCAAATACATTTCAATTACAGTACACAGACCTTTTCCAGCATGTCCCTTTAACAACAGCCAGTCAACCGGCTTCTATCAGACAGACAGCTGTACGTACTGACCAGCTGTACGTTGCTGAACTGGCCATTGTCTGGCCAATATGTACCCAGCTTTATAGGGCACCTAAAAAGATGGGGTAAAGAACTACATGTACTCTGTCCCATGGGGAAATGAATAATGTAAAAAAAAAAAAAATATAATTCTTTATTCCCTCATTACCCATTCCTCACCACATATGTGATAACCCCATAAAGCGATTCTAAAGGTTAATTTTTTTTTCTTTGGAAAACAACAAACATGTCTACACTTATCTACTATGTGCAGTGGTTTTGCAAAGAGCAGCCTGTCAAGTCCACTGCCAAAGCTCCTGGCCCTTCCCCCCGGTCGGGTGACCCCACAGCAAGCAGTTCGCTATGGGGGCACTCGGGGCTCCATGTGTCCATTCAAGCTTAGCCCCGCCCCCTCTCACCTCATTGGCTGACTGGCTGTGATTGACAGCAGTGGGAGCCAATGGCTCCCACTTGTGGTCTCAGCCAATGAGGAGGCAGAGACCCGGGACAGCTGAGGCTGTCATTCACATCATTGGATTGCGCTAAGGCTCCAGCAAGTATTGAGGGGGCTGGGAGCACTGCTGCACACAGAAAGTTTTTTACCTTCATGCATTCAGCTTTTACAACCTCTTTAATGTCCAGTCCTCAGCCCATGCACAATATTTCCTCAGTCTCCATGTACATTAGCCCCTCAGTTGTGTTTCCTAACCACATAGATTACAACTTCTCATTGCCCAGGCCTATGCCCATGTGTTTAGGTGTTCCATCTCCTCAGCACTCAGTCTTCACCATAGGCACCTGAACCCCTCAGAACCCAGTTTTCAATTCCTGTAATTTAACCCCACAGCATTTAGTACCAAATGTGCTTATTCTCTCTGCACCTTATGTTCTGCTTGTGCACCAATCCCTCAACTCATAGTATACCGCAGATGTGACTCACTCACCAGTGCGTTAACCATGTGCTGGGGACTGGCTGCTAGGGGGTTAATAATCCCTCAGTGGCCAGTGCATGTTCTTTAACTTCAGCACTGTCTCCAGAGGATATGCCATAACCACTCACATTTATTCACTGTAACACGACAAGTATTCTCATCTCCACTGCCCCGATCCAATAGTAATCTCAGCTACAATGCAATCCTATTTCCCTGACCAATCTTCCTTGTCCCCAGCAATACTTCTACTGTTCCTGGACTTTAAGACACAGCCTCTGCTAATAACCTACTTTAATTTTGGAGTCTTTTTCTCAGCTTCCATTACCCATTTTCACGGTCACATTCGCGTTCTTTTTCAATATTCTTCCCACCACCTGCACAGTCTGCCACACTACAGACACTATCTGCCACCTCCACTGTTCCAGAATTACCTGCTCTAATTTTAGCGGATACAGTTTCTAAACAGTGATTTTGACCTCTATTCCCACCTGTAAAACCCTCTGTGTGAAGAGCTCAGCCTCATACTGATAATTTATAATTACTCAGTTTTTGGAATCAGTGCCAATGCATTATGGGTCACATTTCCCTGCCTTTCTCAGCCACCTGCAAGTCTATGACCATACTGAATTTTTTAGTGACTTTGTTGCTATAAGTGAACAGATCAATAACCACTATTTTTGAGTCAAAAAATTAACTGCTCTACCTGTTGTCAAACCCTCTCCCTTCTCTCCTGCATATTATTGTGTCTATAATACTCTCCACATCCCTTTCCTGGACATGCAGGCTGAAATCTTAGGCCTAATGAACATCTACAGCTGCCAGTTTTTTTTTTCTGCATCTAAACTTCTCGGCATGTTAGCCTATGTGTTTACAGAGAAAACATAGGTTTTTAGAGGAGTTTAGAGACAGGGGTGTTTGGGGGGGAAAAAAACCCCTGCTGCCAGTGTGTCTTGAAGCAGCAGCATTTTTCCAGAAAAAAAAACAAAACACTTGATGCCTGTAAATGCGTGTTAACACTATGTGCATTTAGTGATAACTAATTTAATGGCCAGAATAAATTATTATTATGGCCAGTGAAATTAAACATCCAAGCGCTTGGTGCACGCGTCAGGAGTTTTTTTTTTTCTGCCAAAACACTGCTGCCAGGAAGAAAGGCTTCTAGGAGACCAAACATCCTGTGTACAGGAGGCCTTACCCTTTTGCACTTCTCTCCTGCTGGCCTTCTCTGCCTGCTGTCATACCTTCCACACACTTTTCCTGCGTATACTGTTGGCCATCATCAAATACTGTCCAACGTTATACTTTTCCACATATACTGACCCCGTCACACACGCCACACTCCTCTCCTGCACATATTGCCACTCCCTTCCTGGGCAAAATGTTTGCAGTCCAGGCATACAGCTCTGAATGCATGGGAGTCTAAACTGTTCAATACAGTGTCCAGCTGCTGCATATTACAGCCTATTAGATTGTCCTAGATATCAGGTTCCTCTTGGGCACCCGAAAATGCCAGGTTTTGTCGCATATGGGCCAAATGCCTTTGTGCATAAGGCCTAAAAAAAAAAAAATAAAAGGTGAACAATATATTAACAGCAATGGCAAAAAAAAAGTATTTGGATGCTTTTAGTTATTATTTTGCACCAAATAAGTGGAAGAGCACAGTTTGAAAACGGATACAAAGTGTCCGATACTCACGATTCAAGAGTTACTAACAAAGGATCAGTTTCTAATATCTCCTGCATTTGATTGCATTGATCTCTGCTCAGTCGGATGAGATCACATAAAGTCTGAGATGCATTAGACTGCCTCTGAAAAGAGAAAGAGGACAGAAATGTGAGTGCACTACAAAGGCATGGGGCTACTCCAAAAGGCTAACTCTAATGTTGCCAAAGAATTTATAAGCCAAAGAACATCCAGTATTCTTTTTTTCTGTGCTAGCTGTGCACTGTACCAACAAACCTTCAACCTGAGAAACAAACGGCCAGATTCTTTTGAACTTCAAATGGAAAAACTACTATGAAAAAGAAACACATCCATTTATTCAGAACCAGTTAGCTAAATCTGGATTACATTTCTGTGATTTTATAAAGTGATAAAGCAGCATTGAGGGGTGGGAATTAACAAGATTTTTTCACTAACTATACACATCTGACCAAATGTATCTGTGCTAAAGAATATATATTGTTTTTGTGTGAGCCACACACTGCTATTGATTATCTCAGGGCAAAACACATCAAGCAGGCTCCATTTTACCGCTGCATTTTAGTGCAAATAAGTATGTGGAACATGTTCTCCTAAAATTTCCTTTTCAGTTTTCTGGCATATACAGCAGTCATCTGTCTGGTTAGAGTGTCTATCCCTAGGACAGGACACCTGTGCCAGAGCATCCTCCTACATACCAATTCAGCAGTAACTGTTTTTACATGAGCCCCAACTGAGGGCTGGTACACACCAGGAATCGCACAGGAACAAAATGAGTGCATGCACTACTTTAAAAAATGCACTGCAACTGGATAGCATGGTACTTCTGTACCATGTGATCTGGTGCAGGCAATTGCATTTGAAAACTGCATTTGGGGCATCGTTAGCATTGTATTGACATGTACTGTAGATCACAAGTTCAGTGCGGTCTGAATGCGGTGGGGGAAACACATGGAATGCGGGTTTCCTACACCACAATTAGCATTTTTTACCCCTTTCACCGTAAGAACTTGCTCTCACAGTGTCCTTCACAACCATAACACACACGCAAAGTTGTTACAAAGAAACAAGTTTTGCTACATGACAAACTTTTCCCTGAGCACTATGGGTTATGAAAACATCATGCCTCTCTCCAGAAACAAATTATTTCAGAAAGGGCAGGGGAATGTGTCACTGCTCTAACTTATTCAGTAGTGTACGTAAATATCACCTTCAACTACTGAGCACTATAAACAGACCTTTTCAGCGGGTATGAAAAAGATACAGAAAACATGTAAAAAGGAACATAAACTGCCTTCTGGTGGAAAATAAAAATGCATACTGTATTTCATATCCACCCACCTAATTTTTTTTTTTTTGACACTTTTTTATCCCTGACAAAAAAAATAAAATCCTTTTCTCAAATACTTTTATTCACATTTCCTCCATGTTTACATGCAGAGCAAGGCATCTAGTAAAAATGACAGAAGCTGGATGAATTTATAATATATAAAATTGCCAACGTTTCTTGAGTAGCTGCAACAACATTGCATACCATGTAACTAAAAGGTGATTATTGCAAGCACCCCATCAGGTGTTTGTCTCAACCCCTGTCTGTCACTTTGCTGGACAGCTCAGTCTGTCTGTAAGCAACTCTGGAGTAGAAAACATAAATGTGAAATACAGGAATTAATATATTCAAGTATAAGATAATACACATATTACTTCATACATTCATCAGAATACAACATTTTCAAAAAAGTAGACCTAAAAGTAAAGGATGTTGTCAGAGTTGTTTAAAATTAATCAGGTTCCTATAAAGATATTTTTCTTTGTACAAAGACTTTCCCCAACTGCACAAAAATTAATTATAGCAAACATAGCTTGCCCAGGGATGTGCAATTAGTATCGGCTAACGCCAGTAGTAGGATGCCAGGCAGGTAGTTTATGTTTCCATTTAGCCTTGCTGCAGGCAAGCATCAGAGCTTAGTTGTTATGGGGAAACATTTGGGCAGCTATGGTACCGCCCAAATGCTTCCACACACCCCATAGCTCCCGGCTGTCCCCCCACCCCACACAAACACTATGTTTCCCGGGATCCGTTTGCCCATCTGCAGGCCCAGGACCAACTCAGCAGCTGCTGACGTGTAGTGGGGAGGGAGGAGAGCAGACACACATCCGCTCTCTTCCCCCTCATGCTGTGACCAGGAAGTGATGTTGTATGATGTCACTTCCGGGTCCCTGTTGACAGATTTCCCAGCCACCAAGGCCAGGGAAGAATGTAATGCGGAGCGATGTGCATTGCATTACATTCAACCCCTCCTGCCCCCCCCCACATGCAAGTAGCAACATAAAAACTTCGATTGCGACACACGTTACATATCGCCAAGCCTACAAGAATGAAAGCAATAGTTATAGCACCAGACCTCGGCCGTAACACTAAGATGATGACCTATAAAGGGCTTTAAAAGTGTCACCTATATAAAAAAATAGGGTACTAAAGTTTGTCACAATTTCATGCAGGCACGCAAATGTAAGGTTTTACATGCTAGGTATCCATTTACTTGGCGCAACAAAAATGGGAAATTTATTGCCATTTTGTGCCCTAAAATTAATTTCAGGGTGTTTTTTTTACCAAAGTTTAGCGTTTCTTACACCTTTGCGGTAATATCGTGTAACAAAAAAACTTGGAACCACCAATGTTTTATTCACTAGGGCAGTGATGGCGAACCCGTGGCACGCGTGCCACAGCCGGCACACCGAGCCTTATCTGTGGGTACGCCAGGAGAATCCAGCGGCGCGCTGTCTTCCCGGCTGTAGTGTGCGTGACAGCCGGGTCCCAAGTGCGCATGCACAAGAAGCAGTGCTCTTTGTGAATGGTAAGGCGGTACCTGGGACACATGACAGATCCCAGAAGCCGCCGGACCAATCACAAAGCGCAGCGCTTCTCGCGCATGCGCACTGGGCATCCGGCTGTCCGACGAGCGCCCACACTACAGAAGCCGGGAAGACAGCGCGCGGCTGGATAAAGGAACAGGTAAGATAAAAAAAAAAACTCTGCGGAAGTAAGAGCGGGTACCTGTCAAATTCAGGTACCCGCTCCCCCTCCCTCCCCAAAGGTCAGCAGTCATCTCTGTACTGTCCGCAGTCTCTGGTCATCCCTGTGCTGTCCGCAGTCTCTGGTCATCCCTGTGCTGTCCGCAGTCTCTGGTCATCCCTGTGCTGTCCGCAGTCTCTGGTCATCCCTGTGCTGTCCGCAGTCTCTGGTCATCCCTGTGCTGTGTCCGCAGTCTCTGGTCATCCCTGTGCTGTGTCCGCAGTCTCTGGTCATCCCTGTGCTGTGTCCGCAGTCTCTGGTCATCCCTGTGCTGTGTCCGCAGTCTCTGGTCATCCCTGTGCTGTGTCCGCAGTCTCTGGTCATCTCCTGTACTGTCCGCAGTCTCTGGTCATCTCCTGTACTGTTCGCAGTCTCTGGTCATCTCCTGTACTGTTCGCAGTCTCTGGTCATCTCCTGTACTGTTCGCAGTCTCTGGTCATCTCCTGTACTGTTCCGCAGTCTCTGGTCATCTCCTGTACTGTGTCCGCAGTCTCTGGTCATCTCCTGTACTGTTCGCAGTCTCTGGTCATCTCCTGTACTGTGTCCGCAGTCTCTGGTCATCTCCTGTACTGTGTCCGCAGTCTCTGGTCATCTCCTGTACTGTGTCCGCAGTCTCTGGTCATCTCCTGTACTGTGTCCGCAGTCTCTGGTCATCTCCTGTACTGTGTCCGCAGTCTCTGGTCATCTCCTGTACTGTGTCCGCAGTCTCTGGTCATCTCCTGTACTGTGTCCGCAGTCTCTGGTCATCCCTGTACTGTCCGCAGTCTCTGGTCATCCCTGTACTGTCCGCAGTCTCTGGTCATCCCTGTACTGTGTCCGCAGTCTCTGGTCATCCCTGTACTGTGTCCGCAGTCTCTGGTCATCCCTGTACTGTGTCCGCAGTCTCTGGTCATCTCCTGTACTGTGTCCGCAGTCTCTGGTCATCCCTGTACTGTCCGCAGTCTCTGGTCATCTCCTGTACTGTGTCCGCAGTCTCTGGTCATCCCTGTACTGTGTCCGCAGTCTCTGGTCATCCCTGTACTGTGTCCGCAGTCTCTGGTCATCTCCTGTACTGTGTCCGCAGTCTCTGGTCATCCCTGTACTGTGTCCGCAGTCTCTGGTCATCCCTGTACTGTGTCCGCAGTCTCTGGTCATCCCTGTACTGTCCGCAGTCTCTGGTCATCCCTGTACTGTGTCCGCAGTCTCTGTCATCCCTGTACTGTGTCCGCAGTCTCTGGTCATCCCTGTACTGTGTCCGCAGTCTCTGGTCATCCCTGTACTGTGTCCGCAGTCTCTGGTCATCCCTGTACTGTGTCCGCAGTCTCTGGTCATCCCTGTACTGTGTCCGCAGTCTCTGGTCATCCCTGTACTGTTAATTAGTTTGCACTACTGTACGAGTTGTTTTTTCTAAACCAAAAGCTCGATATTCAGGTTTCATTGCAGTGTTGGCACTTTGAAAGAAATAAGTTGGTTTTGGGTTGCAGTTTGGGCACTCGGGCTCAAAAAGGTTCGCCATCACTGCACTAGGGTGTCTGCTTTTTAGAAAACTTATGTTTGGGGGTTTTGTGTAATCTTCAGGCCTAACATGTTTTTTTTTTTTTAAAAAAAGGCAAAAAGGGCTTTGCCAGCGAAAGGGATATAGATGAAAGTTCACCGTCGGGAACATGTTACATGTTCTACCCATTTTTAAAGTGGACCCAGCCGGGTCATCCATTCTGTGCAGGAATCAACTATGAGTATCGGCATGCTTTGCAGATGTCGGCTTGTAGTGCTCAATGAGCTACTATGGTGCTGCTGAGCACTCTGATAGTTCATTGATTCTTCTTGTCAGTTTGAAACTGCCTGCCCATATGATGTACGATGTACAGGCAGACAGATTACATTGACAGTCTTCAGGATTCCTGCATTACACCCAAGATCTGCTAATCACTGGTGTAATGCTTTACAGGCTCCTTAAAAGAAAAAAAAAATTGCTTGCAAAAAAAATGTGCATTTCTTTATTTTTTCAAAACATGAACTTGTCCTTTAACAGAGCGAACACCAGAGCTTGATTTGGCTGCTCAGCACTGCGAACCCAAGTATTTCTGTGTGCGGGAGGAACCTAAAGGAATAAAAGTTTTTTTTTTTTTCCACCGAGTGCAGATGCTTGCTGTTAAAAGCTGGCTGAGGAGCACCCAATTTCATTACAATGAAGGCAACCCTTGAGTTTGGCGGCATGTGCAGTAAAAATGTTTAGGTAGCACGCCCCTTTTGTTTTTAAAAGCCCCAGACTTCCTTAAAGACCTCATTTTAAATAAAAATTATTTTTGAAAGGACCATTTATGAGGGACAAGTTTTTTACAGTGCCTTGAAAATGGCTGACTTTTGAAGGCAATTGATTTGGCGCTGAGTAAAAATTTTTAAGATGAAAACCATTTATCATTTTCCTTCCACTTCACAATTATGTGCCACTTTGTGTTGGTCTATCACATAAAATCCCAATAAAATACATTTATGTTTTTAGTTATAACATGACAAAATGTGGAAAATTTCAAGGAGTATGAATACTTTTTCAAGGTACTGTAGTCCCTGGAAAAGTAGTTTTTTCAAAATGTTCCACAGCCCTGTTGCCATACACTGGTAGATGTTCGAATGAAAGCTTGTACAAACATTTTCATCAGTAAATTTGATGACATAATGAATGTCATTTGAAAGTCTTTTAAAATTGAAAAAGTAAACTTTTTAAGTAAATGGACTTTCCCAAACAAAAAAAAATGCATTCACGGTTGGAAATTTGAGATATATTTTCCATCCAGTTCCTTCAGATTTTCAAGTCACTGCAGTGGAAATCTGTTGTTGATTTCAGCCCACTAATTATTAGAAAATAAAAAAAATATTCTGAAAGCAAACATTTTTTTAACTGAGAAACAATTCTGACAGAGCTGTTGTTATCTGTATGTATACGTAAATAATAACTCAGGAAATAACACTCTGTATTACAGGTTACACTAAGATCTACTCACATCTTCATCCTGACTGCAGTGAATAAGATCTATTAGTCGCTGAATGAGCCTCTCTTCATTCAACCACTGAAATGACAAATATTTTAATAATACAAATTACTTAAATCAACAAACCTCAGAATTATTACTAATATTTTTAAACCAGCATTATAATATCTCAATGGCATGCTACTATGAAAAATGAAAACAACAATTAGCAAATTGCATTTCTTAATTCTGTTGCAGTGAGAGAGAAAGAAGTTAAAGCACATCTAAATTCAAATACGAACTTGAGATTCACGAGCCATGGTGCGGCTTAGAATGAGTGCACTTGTTCTGATGTCCCCTTTTTGCCCTTATCAGTAGACAAGCGATTTACGCAAACTGACTTCAGAAATCCAGCATCTGCACAGGAAGGGGGAAAGCCCAGAGCAGGTAGGAGAAGGTGCCCTATGGCACAAGCTACACAGCTTTGGCATATTTTGTTTAGTTTGTTGTCTGTAGAGGGTTGCTTAACCTCCCTGGCGGTATGATTATTTCAGATTTTTGGTGCTGAAAGCGGGTACCATTATTTTGCATGGAAATTTGGCGTTTTATATTGTAGGCCTGTAATTTTTAGGAATAACTCACTGAAATCTGTCTGAACAAGAGTCTAGTAAACATCCCGGGTATGTTAAAATTTGAAACGCAAAATCATAAATTATAATTTAACATAAAAAATAATAATATAATAATAAATGTAATTCAATAATATAATCAAACCAAAAACACTGAAATTTTAAATATAGCGCCAAGTTCGCACATCACTGATCTTAGTCACAAAATCGTTTTCAGTGTCTGATGACAAATTTCCCCACAAATCATCACTCAATTCTGCAAGTGGTTCTAATTTACTATCGCTGTTCTCTAGCTGGTCTAAAAGCACTTTTGACCTAAAGGGACGCTTTTTGGATGCCATGGACGTTTCTCAGTTTCCAGGTAGAAAGAACAGTAAAAATGCAGGCAGGGCACAGGACAAAGCACTAGGGACAAAATGTATGTGAAATGGTTTGATACAGTAATGTTTTACTATGTGATTTTAGTGAATGTCACTTTTTGTCATTTTCAAATTTCCCGCCGTTCTGTCCCCCGTACATCCCGACGCTCGCAGGGGACGGAACCCAGATGACAGATGCCGGCATCCGCCGGATTACATTGCCGGGGACACTGCAGGAGGGACATCGCAGGGGCGCAGGACAAGGTAAGTGAAGAAAAGATCCCGGAGCAGCGCCCCGCATGGTAAGATGAGTGTAGCTCGGGGGTTACCGCTTGTGGTACTGAAACTTTACCCCGAGCTACACTCAGGAATACCGCCAGGGAGGTTAAAGTAGAATGTTGGGAATGTAGTCAAATAAGCTGGCCATATACTGTTAGTTTTCCTCAGCCAGGAGGCTGAAAAAAAAAAAAAAAAAAAAAAAAAGAAAAAACTTTTGCCGAGCAATTTTGATCAATGATCCGACTGATCATAGTATCAGCTGACCCGGCCGAATTTTGATCAGTGCATGGACAGCTGTAGTCACAATGCAATTTTAAAGAAACCTTGCTGGTTAAAATTTCAATAATCTTACCATAATATGTGTATTTAAAGGCTAAGTTCACTTTTTTAAAAAAAATGGGATTTTTAAAATCCTTTCCTCAGAGTTCACTGAGGGACAAACTTCTGGCCTATTCTTGACCGTAGGGTTATATCGCCACCTACAGGAGTACGACATTAGGCAGAAAAAAAAAAAAAGAGAACACAGCACATTGTATGGGCAGTCCCAGCTGGTAGAAAATCCCATCATAGGCAGCTCAGTTTTGTAACAAAGCAGTACAAGTAGAAAAGAACCAACAAAGGGGCGGGTGCTGTGTCAGTCAATGAACTCAGAGAAAAGGATTTTACAGTGAGTAGAAAAAAATCCCATTTTCTCTTATGTTCATTGACAGACATAGCTTTTGCTTATTCCTGACTGTAGGGATGTCCCAAAGTAGTGCCACTTTGAGGGGTGGGAAACCAAAGAAGGAAAACACAACAATCCCTGAAAACTCCTCTGACAAGGACAGGGGAACCTAAAATCACCACCAGCAAAACCGTGTGGCTGAAACATACATCCAAATATGCCAAAACACCAACTTTTCAAAACTTTGTGAAAGTGCGCACAGACAACCGGATAGCAGTCTTGCAGACCAGAACATGGACGCCCGATGTCGAAAAACCCAGGAGAAACTATCGCCTTGGTGGAGCGTGCCACAACGGGGAAGGGAGGAACCCAACCCCTAACAGCATCGGCCTCACCAACATACCACAGACAGGGGAGAGAACAGGACACTGCCGCTACCCAGAGAGGGTCATATTGCCATCACTCGAACAGCGTGCAAAGGAAGCATCAGAGAACTATCCCCACTCACCAGGTCCTGGACACCATCATCAATGCCGGATCCCATCTGGTGAAAAAGAGGCCGCAACATCGGTATGATAAGTCCTGAGATCAGCCACGTCACCAACAGGCAACAACTGCCCCTACAAAAACATAAACTCTATAGTGCAAATGGAGAAAGAGTGATTAGGTCCCAAGCAAGAAGCCGTAGTCTCTGTATGGTAGATCCAGGTGTGTTAATCCTCTTCTATAATGGCTGCTGCTCTTCTAACAGGGTATTGAATGTCTGTGCACTAAAACAACAAACAGAAGGCGCCTTCTGTTTGTTTATTGTTTTAGAACAACTGCCCCTACTACTGCTTCTCTTAGATGGAGGAAGAAAGAAGGACAATACACCTCCGCCCCCGGCTAGGAAACAAGAGTGCGATCACATGCAATTGCATAGGAAGGATTGCCCTCCAACAAAATGGCGGATGCAGACGCTCACTCCTCAGGAAATGCAGGCCAGAAAGGGGTGGGCACTGGGCGGAATGTTGAAAGGCAGTGTCCCGCCAGCACAGCACCGCTCATGCAGACGGAGGACACCCAGCAGGAGCAGAAGTGACATCAAGACAGGGCAAAATGCCCTAAGGTAAAATGGTAGGCTCAGCTACAGCCCCATAAGCCACAACCCAGTGAGTAAAGTTTTTAGGCCTCCCGACCTAAAACACTGGCCACCAAGAGGAGCAGCAAGGCAACCCCCCCTCACCACAGCATGTGCAAAGAGGTACCAAAAGGGGCAGGGAACCCATCATGCACTCACACAGCCCCAGGGCCCATATACAGCTTGAGAAGGAAGAAGGGAGACCAACTGCCCAGCCAGAAGGCTATGTGGCAGTAGTCGAAGCATAACATGGTCCGGTGGGGTGCAACTGCATGTTCACCAACCAGAAGACATCCCTCAGTATCCATGGGGGAGCAACAACTGACGAAGGGGAGGAGTCCTAATAGGGACTGACCTGCCCCAAACCCACTACCACCCACAGGGAGACTCAAAGGGAGACCATCAAACCCGCAGAAGGGGAGAGTAGGGCAGGTATGGGAACGGAGGACCTGGACACAAAACAATCATGGCCCAGAGAGTGGAGGAGAAACCCTGTAGGGCCGACCACCCCATAGAGTACCCGCACCCCAACACCATGTCCTGGGACGGAAGGGGGGAGTATCTACTTACCAGTCCAGCAGAGCATACAGGTAAGGCTCCCATGACAGATCCTCCTCTCCTAAGTAGAGGGGCTGTCAGCCAGGGTAACACTATGTGTCCTTGCAAGATGTTTAACCTGCTGGCCGCCCCGGTCCAGGATGAGGTTCATCAAGACCGACCCAGTTTTTACCTAAAAGGTAGACTGGGGTGATCAATGGATCTATATTATCCAGCCTGTTGATTGAAGATCTCTGCAGGACAAAAAAAGGAAGAAGAAAAAAAAAAAAGCTATGGAACTGAGGTCCCAGCAAAGAACTAGGTCCTCCTTACTAGGCAGAAAAAAAAACTGAGCTGCCTATGACACAGAGGGGATTGTTTACAAGCTAGGACTGCCCATAGGCGGTCCTGTGTTTTTTTTTTTGTCTAGTATTCTCTTTTTCTGCCTAGTGTCCAACTCCTGAAAGTTGCGATATAACCCTACAGTCAAGAATAAGTAAGAGCAGTTTCCGTCAATGAACAGAAGAGAAAAAAGTAATAAATGGCCAAGATTTCTGCCGGTCAGCATCGAGGACACCATTTATCCTGAGCATATCTCCAACTCCACTTGCAGAAATGCAGACTCAGGCTTCCAAGGAACCTCCAGTACGCTTCACTGTTTCCTGCAAACACTCATCATTGTACTGCTCTCCAGCCCATTGAGAACAATCTGCCTCTGCTACAGCCAAATATTTCAAATTTTAATCATCAAGCCAGAGCACCTGCTGCCATTTTTCTGCACCCCATTTCCTGTGTTTTCATGCATAGTTGAGTCACTTAGCTTGGTTTCCATGTCCTATGCACAAAAACTGGGGTGCAGAAAAATGGCAGCAGGTGCTCTGCACTGATGAGTCAAAATTTGGAATATCTGGCTGGAGCAAAAAGCAATTTGTTTGCAAAAGGCTGGAGAGCCGTACATTAATGAGTGTCTGCGAGCAACAGAAAAGCCTGGTGGAGGCTTCTTGAAAGTTTGGGGCTGCATTTCTGCAGATGGAGTTGGAGATTCGCTCAGGATCAATTATGTCCTCCATGCTGAGAAATACAGATAGAAGTACTTATTCATCATGACATACCATCACGGAGGCATGTGACTGGCCCCAAAGTTATGCTGCAGCAGAACAACCCCCCCAAACATGCAGTCAATGTCATTAAGATCTACAGTATCTTCAGTGTAAAGATGAACAATGAGTCCTGGAAGTGATGATCTGGCTCCCACAGAGCCCCGAATCTCATCATGTCATTCTGGGATTACATGAAGAGACAAAAGGATCTGTGGCAGCCTACATCCACAGACCTGTGGCTAGTTCATCAAGATGTTTGGAACAAACTAGTTGCCAGATTCCTTAAAAAACCTGAGTGCAAGTGTACCTAAAAGAATTGATGCTGTTTTGAAGGCAAAGGGTGGTCACACAAACTATGGATTTGATTTGGATTTCTCTTTTGTTAATTTACTTTCCATTTTGTTAACTGAT